CTTACCAGTTTCACAGCGAACACCAGTGAACCCAGGAGGGCATGTGCACATAAAGGCATTAGGTAAGTCAGTACACTCTCCATCATTCAGGCAGGGCATTGATAAACATTCATCAGTCACTGTGTAAGAGTGAGAACATCACAGGAATGGAGTGACAATGGAACGTGTTGCACGTCTGTGTGGTTTTTAAAACCCTTACCTGCCAGAACATTTCTGAAAAATCGGTGAATGTACTACAAAACAGAGAGGTTCCAGGCTGTCCAAGAGAGTGCTCACTACCGAGAGGCAGAGCTGGTTCACACAATAAGAGGACAGAGAAAGTGTTTTAACTCCGAGTTTCACGCACAAAGGGGCCATCCGTAAATATCGATAGTTTTTTCAATCCGTGAATTTTACAAAGTAACCAGGACCCACCACCCACCCCCCTACTTTTTACGGAATAAAACATTGATGACACATGTACTGTACCTACATAAATGTACGTGGAGTCCATGGAGTCCATACACACGCAGGCATGCGCTCACCGTGTCATTCATATTAGAGTACAGCAATGTATTTTGGCAGACTTATGCCAGGAATGTTGTCCAAGAATCACTTGCTCTTCAGCTCATTCCAAATACATCATACCCTTTATGGGCAATCAATCCAGCAAGCACATGCATTGCTGAATACATAAGAGTCTCTGAGTGAGTTGGCCTTTTGGATGATCTCCGACCTTGCCTGCGGGTCTGCGGAAAACGTCTCCATCCACTGCTTCTGTGCTTTGGTGAAAAACGCAGATAGATTATTGGACGTTTCAACCAGGGAGTAGTACAATACCTGGTATTGTACTACTCCCTGGTTTCAACAGTCCACAAGGCCTCGATGACGGCGTAGTAGCCATCGTCGTCTTCACCAGGGCTGTCAAGCTCTTTGAAAAACTTATCTTTTTTGGCAGCTGTACCAAACAAAGTAGTCTGCCGTGCCATTTTCGTTAGGCCACGCTCCACATGGGAACTGTTCCAACCATTGGCGATGTAGCAATTCTTCGATGTGGAGTTCAAATAAGAGCTGGACTTGACCCGGATTAATCAGGTATTGTGATACTTCGAATAATTGTGCAATAATTATACTGACGAAGTAGTGGTTGCGACTTCGGCGATGATTTGTAAGAAATGGTTTGCTCCCCACACCGGAGCTCGCGCTATTCCGCCGACTTTACTTGACACTTGACTGACTCACGACTGCCATCCAGAGCACACGAGAAGTCCATCGAACCTTCGACTCGGCAAACCTGCAAGAAAGCACCACTCCCTGCTCAATACACAGTGTTTCGGGGAATTCACCCCTCATCAGTTGAGCTTGAGTCAAGTGTCAAGTAAAGTCGGCGGAATAGCGCGAGCTCCGGTGTGGGGAGCAAACCATTTCTTACAAATCATCGCCGAAGTCGCAACCACTACTTCGTACTGTTGTGCCCAGCGCGGGCTTGCGACTAGTTGGTTTGGAGGTGACAGCGTTGCGAATGACCGAGGGTCCTCGACGTCTGTCTCACCGTCCAGGAGCGACACTGACTCACGCTGCTATCTGGTGTTCACGAGGTGTTTGTCGCGCTTGAAACGGAGCGTCTCTGTAAGTTTGTATCCCTGGTGATGTTTGTGCCTGGAGAGCACTATATAAGTGGTGCTCTTCAGGCACAATCTTCCTCAGCCTACTCAAGCTCAACTGATGAGGGGTGAATTCCCCGAAACACTGTGTATTGAGCAGGGAGTGGTGCTTTCTTGCAGGTTTGCCGAGTCGAAGGTTCGATGGACTTCTCGTGTGCTCTGGATGGCAGTCGTGAGTCAGTCAAGTGTCAAGTAAAGTCGGCGGAATAGCGCGAGCTCCGGTGTGGGGAGCAAACCATTTCTTATAATTATACTTGTGAATAATATCTGAAAAACTTCCCTCTTTCTTTTGCTTCAAGAGTTTCGATCTCCACTACATTTTTTTGAGACAACAATCTACGGGTACGTGTGGTTCGACGCACGCAGACCCACGCACACGCAGTACTGGGTGCCAGGTCCGCGTGTCATCGATATTTTATTTACTTTGAATTTCGGCTGCACCCACCACCCAGGTACGAAAATTTCACGGATTGTAAAAACTATCGACATTTACGGACGGCCCCTAAGCGATCATCAGAAAACACTCAAAACAGTTTTGAGTGTTTTCTGATGATTGCTTAGTGCGTGAAACTCGAAGTTAAAACACTTTCTCTGTTCTCTTATTGTTTTGGTGAATGTACTACATATGGAACCAGTTCGGATCACAACATTCGGTTTAGAGACAGGAGCAGGAGTAATTGAGCTTCCACCAGCAAAGAACAGTTCACTGTTAGTGTAAAACATGGTCGTAGCCGTTTGATAGCTTAGCTGATCAGAGCACGGACAATCTCCTCACGGCCTGATATATGAGCGTTGGCATGCTAACACGAGTTAGCAGCCAGCCCAGCGAGCTGGCCCAACCTGCACGCATGCGCGAGTCATGTGGGCACGCGCCCTTCGAAATCCTGTACAATGTCTCTTGCATGTCATTGCTGTTTGGACTTTCGAGCGTGCAACTTGCGGAACATGTGTTCCCAAACAATTTCCTTCCCACCCTCCCACCCACTAGCTCAACTCATGTTTCTGGCGCACACATGACGGTATCTGTATAGTCATGAGAATATATGCTCTCAACTGGTTATGCATCTCTATATATTTAGCATTTGGCGGCTCTACTCAGAGTCATTGGCGGCTCCATGCGGAGGCATTGGCGGCTCCATGCGGAGTCATTGGCGGCTCCATGCGGAGTCATTGGCGGCTCCATGCAGAGTCATTCGGCGGCTCCATGCGGAATCATTCGGCGGCTCCATGCGGAGTCATTCGGCGGCTCCATGCGGAGTCATTCGGTGGCTCCATGCGGAGTCATTCGCCGGCTCCATGCGGAGTCATTCGCCGGCTCCATTCGGAGTCATTTGCCGGTTCCATGCGGAGTTGTCACGTCCCTGAATGTGACGACTGCTGCCTGATAGTCCTGTGACAGCAGGATCTACCTAGTGAGCAGCTCTGTGCTGAGCTGTCACGCCCTTTTGGTACAATGTGGTTTGGCCAGTGTCTTGTCCCACGTGCTTAGCATGTAGGTTGAGCGACACGCGCTTTCCCACGTAGGTGACATGCCTTCTTGGCATGACACGTCATGTGATCCAAGGCCGGAACCTGGTCAGATAGGTTCTCGCGTTGTACGTTTCCTGGAAGTTCTTCACTTCCTGGAAATGTGACTCCAGGCTTTGTGCAAAACCACGTCACTACGACGTTCTACAGGTTTCCACGATGCCTCGGCGCTTCGTGCAAAGAGCCAAGACTATAATATGACATTGTATAACAAGAGCTAAGTGCAAGACAGGAGACGTGTGCAAGAACCAAAACCGTCACCGCGCAAGAGGTCAGAGTATCATGCAAGCAAGACCAAGAATGCAGCAGAACTTACCATAAGAAGCCGCTGAACTATGGCACGTTGGGTGAGCGGGCTCCCCAACGTGACCCTCATATACTCACATTGTACTCTGACGTGGGTGAGCGGGCTCCCCACGTCCCAATTTGGTCTTTCTTCTCTCGATGTCTTTCTTTCTCTTTCTTCTCGAATGATCACCGTACGTATATTCTGCATTTCTGCTGATTGGCTGCGCACATTCCGGTTTGACTTGTTCTGCTATTTCCTGGAATTACCTCGCAATGATCACGCCATATATCTCTAAATTGCGCTATAAAAGAAGCTCTCGTTCTCTTTCTTACTTCAGTTCAGTCTAGTCTAGTTTTTAGTCTAGTCTAGCAGTCGAGACTCGGTCTCAGCTCTCTGTCTTCGTTTACTTTGAGCTCGGATTTGATACTACTCACAACGTAAAACTAACAGTCTTTGTCTGTTGATCGTGTGGGGTTGAACTTGGACCAAGCCAGCTATATTGGTTGGCCCCTGGGTTGTGTTGGGCTTGTCGTGAGGCCACACGTCTATATTCAGTCGCCGCTCGTAGTGATTCCGGGGTCCGGTCACTGTGAGCCGGGGATGCGACAGAGTCATTCGCCTGCTCCATGCGGAGTCATTTGACGGCTCAGCTGCAAGCCATCTAGCGGCTCCAAGCAGAGCCATCATACCAGTTGCTCGAATCGGCACTCCCAGCTTGATCCAAAACTCGGTTGCTCTGTTGTGAGGTGGGGGGATGCTAACTGTGTTTCTATCTGATGTGGATCAGCTAGAACTTAGGAAGCGAACTTGCTTACCTGTTTCACACATCACGCCAGTGAACCCGGCCAGACAGTCACACTGGAAGGCGTTGACAAGGTCGTTACACATCCCGTCGTTCTGACATGGGCCACTGGCACACTCGTTGAAATCTGGTGCCAGAGAATCACAACACATACACATGCAGCCACACACAATAACACACACACAATAACACACACACACACACGCACAATAACACACACACACACACACACAATAACACACACACACACGCACAATAACACATACGCACACACACACACACACACACACACACACACACACACACACACACACAATAACACACACACACACATACACACCATAAATAGAGAGGTTTTGCAGAGCGAACGTTCGCTCGAATTTTCGTTTGACGTCACGAAAAGCGAAACTTCGTGCGAACGTTCACAGCTTTGAACGCGAAAGTTGAAGGAAACGCGAGACAAACTTTCATAGTAATTTTCGCTGATCGCGGACCAGTGCAGCCAGTGGTGAAACATGGTGAACCACTCTCCTGCAATGTTTTGTGCTTCATCTTTCACAAGCCAGTAGATCTACTCTTGGCTTGGTTTGCTTGTTCTGGCTTTCCCGTATGGCAGCCCACGCTGCTTCATCTCCGGAACCATGTCCGACCACCTGCCTGCTCATCGTCTCAGAGTTGGCTACAGCAGTAAGCCTTTCTTTAGATTTGTAGGTGCTGATGCGCCGGATTACGGCACAGGCCAACCAGTTTGTCTGTGGGTCTCCAGCCATGGACAACGGAGTCAAAGAGCTCTCATCTCAGGCCGAGTCAGAGTGCCGCCACTCGCAGCAAATAAATTCTCAGTCGGATGAAGCTCCAAAGACGATTTCTCAAACAAGTGTGATCGCGCAGTGCACGCGTACAGTTCTTGGAGCGAAAATCATGCAAAACACAAACTTTGCGTGCACGTTTGCCGGAATATTCGCGAGCCCAGTCGCAAACATTCGTGCGAATGTTCGCTCTGCAAACCTCTCTAATGTCCATTGACAAATTTTCCTAGCTGAAACTGACATTTTTCTATCATATACGTAGTGGTACAATAGTGACAATACCCACTCAACACATACGAGACCGGGGGAGGGAAGAAGGGGGAGAAGAGAAGGGGAGAAGGGGCAAGAAGGGGTGAGAAGGGGGAGAAGAGATGGGGAGAAGGGGCAAGAAGGGGGTGAGAAGGGGGAGAAGAGAAGGGGAGAAGGGGCAAGAAGGGGGTGAGAAGGGGGAGAAGAGAAGGGGAGAAGGGGCAAGAAGGGGGAGAAGAGAAGGGGAGAAGGGGCAAGACGGGGGTGAGAAGGGGGAAACGGGGAGACGGGGAGGAGGGGGAGAATTGGGGATGGGGGAGAAGGGGGGGAGGGGACACTGTAGTGTGCACGCTCATCATCGTGCCTCTCACCTGTCTGGCAAGTATCACCGGTGAATCCAGCTGTACACTGGCAACTGAAAGTGCCCACACCGCTAGTACACGTGCCTTCGTTCTGACATGGAGTGCTCATACAGTTGTCGACAACTGCAGTGAAAATACAAACACATAGTCTAAATAGTCACTAGGTGAGGAAATGGAAAAGGGAAAGGTCTGAAGAAAAATTGACTGTCACCATCAGGACTCGAACCAGGGATATTTGCTCGAGGCCGGTGATGCTCTAGCCACTGAGCCATGGTGTAGCTGTCAGCCCAGCACAGACCGCTCAACAGAGTCTAAGCCATACATAATACATGCTTGCAAATTCACCTCCGGGGCATTCATCATTTCTCTACCGGCACATTCTACTCAACCAGAATGAGTAGAGTTATTCTGCATCGTGCTAAAACTGGTGGCTCTACCACCTCAAAATAAGTCAGGGGACAGTTAACAACCCAGGAGAGCAGGCAATCCATTTTCTAACTGACGAAAAGAACGCTCTGGGAACTGAAACTCGCACAGTCGTTCAGCTTGCACTCCCCTGCTGGAATACTTTGTCGCACTGTATCTTGCAAGCACATATTTCAGCCGCAACAAAAATTTAGGCCTCAATGGCTCTGGCCGAAAATAGCCGACAAGAATACGTGCCGAATATATTTGTCATCAACCACAACACCTGCGTCCACTCCACAATGCTGCTGCTTACTGTAAAAGCAGAAATTTCCGGTGGTGTTTTGTTTTCGGCAACTTCGGTGCCGAAATTTTTACCGAAAATAGAACGAATCGAAAATTTCGGTACTAGTACCAGTACACTTACCTGGAAAACGGGTTTACCGAATATTTCCCTCCATCGAACCGCCGATTTTGGAGAATACCAAAAATATTACTTGGTCCGGCTCATCGCAATTGTCGCTTATCTCCCACGCACCTTTTGACAGGTAAAACCCAGTCCGATCACGATATCTAACTTACTTTTGCTTGGGAGGTTGTGATGGCAAGATCAAAGGAGGCACCAAAGAAAAATGATCGCGACTAGAACTTTGAATCGCGATGTGTTCGACTTTTTTGGGTAGTGGGAATCTGGCCATTCACTGTCTGTGTTGCCAAAAGCCAAGCGCACAGCGACCCGAAGACCGGAACTGTGGCAGGGGCAACTGACATCCTGGAGAGCGTGACAGGCACGCATGCACGGCAGAGGAGTACGAGCCGCATGAGCGTCATGCTGAAGAAGAAAGGTGTTTTTGATGCGATGCGCCCGGCCGACGGTTGTTGTTCCTTGCTTGGTGGACCTAGCAGCAGCGTTACAAGAGTCATGGTCAGCGTATCCAGCGGAGCGTATGACAGCTGTCTGGAGAGGCCCGTATGCCTCGAAGGCTTTGTTGAAACACGCTGTGGAGACACACAGGTCACACTGCCCACGGTTCCTTCAAGCACCGAAGTGACAGCCACAGCTGTTCCTTTCCCATTGCTGCCATACGACAGCCTGAGTGAGAAAGCAAGAGATACTCCGTCTACGCCAGCAGTTAGACACCAGCAAATGTCAGCTTATGTAACGGCGCGGCAGCTCGAGTGATGCAGAGTTGAATGAACTCTGGACCTGTAAGAGTGTGAGTGCAAGAACGCGCTCCTTCACGGATTTATTTCGTGCATTTTGCTTACCTTGCTTCCTTTCTTCGACTCGCTTCACCTGATTCCATTGCTGAAATTTTTTCTTGTGGCGGAGAGTATTCTTGTATCATGCTTCCTCACTATGCCTACTGGAAATTTCACAGAGCGGTAAAACAACTCCTGTTCTTACTCTTAGTGGCGATAGATAAGCGACAGTTGCGATGAGCCGGACTAAGTACACCACTGAAAATTTCTGCTTTTACAACACTTTCTTGCTTTAACCTCCACACCGATGAAAAATCTGTACAGGACCGAATGCTGCTGCTCACCCCCGTATTTAGCCAAATAATATTATTGTTTCGTAATCTGTACCTTCGCATGCAAAGACGCAAATCCACACAATTAAAGTAGACACTTCCTTCTATCAAACGTTTTCTTTCCCTTCTCTTCAGGATAGAATGTAGTTGAAGACACCACTGCAGCTGTACTTATTGTTGATAAATATGGTGGTAAAGACACACCTGGCAATATGGCGGTAAATAAGTACAGCTGCAGTGGTGTCTTCAACTACATTCTCCCGAGTCAAGCTCCGTATGAAGACATCCAAGAAGAAGATTGCCTGATGAGTCCAGCGGGGACGAAACGTACGTCGCAATCGAGCTATGTCGTTGCTGTGTCATCATCTATGTGCCATGCGCAACTTGATGTACCAGCCTGCTATGCCGGATACCGCCAGCCATGCATCGACCAGGCGCCAGGCGCGAACTGATGGTGGTGGTGGTGAGAAGGAGAGCTCTGTGCCAGAACTTTGCAGCCTAGAGAGCGTGTGTGGGCAGGCGTGTGTTTACCGCCATATTGCCAGGTGTGTCTTTACCACCATATTTATCTCTTCAGGATAGTACAGGGAATGTTGGAAATTTGGAAAACACATAACTATATAGAGAAAGAAAGAAAAAAGTCACCAAACTGTTTTTCACCGCCTCCAAACTACCGCTTGAATATTGAAATTATTGTTTTGTTTTTACAGTGTTCTATGATTATGAACTAACCATCTGCACACAGGAGTCCAGTGAATGTAGGGGGGCATGCACAGGTGAATTCTTCGATACCATCCATGCATGATCCACCATTCAGACATGGATTTTCGGCAGGACACTCTGGAACAGCTGTACATACACATCGCATGCACATAAACATACGCATACACACGTACGCATACGCGCAAAAGCATGCACACACATACATACACACACAAACACACACACACACACATTCACACACATGCACGCACACACGCACATGCATGCACACAAACGCATCCAAAATTGGATAGGTGGTCACAACTTTTCAATCAGGCATGCAAGCAGATGGAGGTGTAAAGTATTGTTGAGCACCGACGAATGATCATGTTAGGATTACACTAAACATAGTGCAGTAGAGCTGTGATAAGACTATGGGCAGTAGGAAAGTGTACTTACAGTCCATTTCAAAACTATAGACGCGTACCTAGGCAAAAACCGTTATGCCAGCATCTATACCACATAAAATCTGTGATCACTTTGTGCACAATTTTTTCCAAATTGGGCGTCTGTTATCCAATCCTTTAGAAACTATATGAGAGTACTTGTGGAGCGATCCTGAGCAATATTCCGAAAACTATTCACAAAAAGTTCCAGCCAAATTTGAAATATTTCAAAAACCCTACGCGTCTATAGTTTTGAAATGCACTGTAGTAGCTGATATGCTTCTTACCCTCACATACTCCAGTATGGATCAATGCACCTGTACTCCAGACAATGTCTGTGCTAAGCAAGAGCATGCCTTATCAGAAGAAGTACTACTGTAGCGGACATGGAAATCCAGTCGAATGACCGGGGCCGGCACCCTCAGCGCGCACAGAACGTTGCATGCAGTGCTCATGTTCATCAGATGCGACCAGCGCGCTACAGCGCATAAATGCATGTGTGTACCGGTTACCCACGGCTGCATGACCAGCATTCTGAGGCCGCTAGACGTGCGACGGGATTTCCATGTCCACGAGAGTACATGTAGGCGAGCACCACTCTATGCCGATACATACGAGGTGACCCAATGGGCATAGTTTGCAGCACATGACAAAATAATAAGAATGGCCAAGGCTGCAGCACTGATCTCCCGTTCTTGTGCCCCTGACAGCAGTGCATGACATGAGCTAAAATACACTGCACAACAGGCATACTGCCAACTTGTTCCCTCCTGACCTGCTTTCAAACAAGAAATCTACTCACTGCTGATTGACTCAATCTGCTCCTGCAGCGCTCACCCTCTCCCATACTTGCAAAATTCAAAGTGATGTAAATCACTTTCCAACTGCATAACCCACAGCCCCACCCACAGCATCTCACTTTCTCATAAACTTATCTCTCATTGGCGATGGTGCCACCGTGAGAATAAAGAATTCAAACTTACTGACTTCACAGGCAGTGCCCAGGAATCCATTGTTACAGCGACAGTTGCGCTGCGTATCGCACACGCCCCGTCCATTGCACTCTAGAGAATTCGCCATGTCACAGAATTCGATATCCAGGTCCACCATGGTCTGAGACTGGCACTGACCATTCAAACACACCTGAATGGCGTGGGGGGAAAGGTGCAGAACAAGGCCAGCACACCTGATTGGTATATACCCAGTGTGCACAGAGCTAGGTTATTGTACAAGCTAAAGCAAACACAACAATCTCCCGGATGGAGAGCCAAGGATAAATTTATAAAAAAGAAAAAGGACCAAGGTCAAGGAACTACAAGTTACACTATAACGTCCACTAATATCACCAGTTACTAAACTGTTAGCCAGTTACTTGTAGAACGTCAGTACCATCGGGCAGTGTCGTGCAATGTTATCGCATGAGCTGATTGTTTAGTAACTGGTGGTGTTAGTGGACAGCATAGCGTATCTTGTAGTTCCTTGGTCCTTTTTCTTTTTTACGACGGTCTCTTCTCCTCTTCTCCTCAATGAGCTCTCAGTGCGTTGCTACCGAGGGTAGACGATAGTGTCGTGTCGGCTAAGAGTGCATGGAGGAGAAAAGATTGCTGAATTATTGCACAGCCGGATGGTACAGTTCACAATTTCAAAGCAAATACAGTCAGACCTGGCTTAACCGCACACATCCACTTTCCACAAAAAAAATATCCGGATAGGCGAGAGAACCGGATAATCCGGCTGTGAGTGAGGTTGGACTGTTAGTGAGGTTGTGTGGTGAGCAAGTTAGGACGGTATACCTACATTGCCATTGCCACAACTCTGTCCGTCCCTGACGACCGTAATGTCTGTAGCTCCAGCAGTCAGGAAAGATGGGTCCAGAATCGTTCCACCTCTGCAGCACGGATAGCAACATTGGACAAACACATACCGTACGTTAGAAAAATGTGTACCAGAGGGATCGAGCGAAATTGTAAACTGGGTACAGACACACTGACAGTTGAGCAGCACGAAATGAAAACTAAAGTAACCGTTCAATTCGAGATCAGTATCTACTGCAAGAATTTACTCTATCAGACTGCTCTCACTCACACACATGTGCGCATGCAAACACACATGTGCACACACACACACAAACACACACACACACACACATTTTCACGCGCATGAACACACACGCGTGCACACACACACACACACACACACACACACATCATACATAATTTTGAGTTGAATTAGCTGTGACTTACTTGCATATGATCTCGTTTCCATCCACTGATATGGTAGTTCTCTCTGTTTCCCTAGCAGCCGTGGTAACAGGTTCATCGGCACCAGTGTCACCACAATGAAGCTTGCCACATAGCGCATCACTGTAACAAACACGGTAACATCAAATCGCATCGTTATCACCATGGAAACAGCAGTGACACAAAAACGTCAACATACCCTGTGTTGGGCTATGCGTTATACACCCTACTACGACTGTCGTGGACAAGGAAATCCGGTCGCACGTCTAGCGGCCCCAGCGTGCTGGCCAAGCAGCCGTGAGTAAGCAGTACGTACTGGTGCACACATTATGCACTGCAGCGCGCTGGTTGCATCGGATCAACATGACCGTGCACTGCATGCAACGTTCTGTTCGCGGTCAATCGACTGGATTTCCATGTCCACGACATTACATTAAGTATATGGCTGAATACTGTGAATAGTATGAGGGATAACAGTAGATGAGGGAGAGCAGTGCGTGAGGGACAGCAGTGCGTGAGGGAGAGCAGTGCGTGAGTGATTGCAGTGGATGAGTGATAGAAGTGGACAAGGGGTAGCAGTAGATTAGGGACAGACATTGATGAGGAGTAGCAGTGGCCGAGGGATAGCGGAGCATTGTCCAGAACACGCAAAACGACTCCCCACTGTTGCGTCAGATGAAGAAAACTCATTGACGGGATCATGCCTGCTTGTTGCTGGGAAGAGAAGATGCACCAGGCTTTCATGGACAGACTAGGCCAAGTATGCAGTGTGGATACAGAAAAGGGATTCTTTGGCTAGTGAAAGGGCACTCAGCTCTCAGTCTAGGCAGGACAAAATGGGAGATATTTTTTAACTCTCTCCCTCTCTCTCTCTCTCTTTCTCAGCTTGTCATCCATTGTTGCAGCGATTTCCTTCTCACATACGTGAAAATCCTCAAAGATAAACTTACGCTTCTGCACAGGCGGTGAACTGCAGGTTGCCTTGGGTGGACGTAGCCAGGTTTAGACCGCAGTTTCCGGTTTGATTTCCGAAAACATTCAGCGTAAAGCACATGTCATTTCCCGGAGTGCCACCTACAGACAAAACAGCCCATAACGACCACACACACGGAGTATGCTTCCATGAGAACCATGCATGCACACGGAGACAGACATGAAACTGAGATGGACAGTTCTGATGCTGTGAACAGATTGGTATGCCTTGGATGCTCTTGTTCTGAATGAGGTTCCACTGACTGGCAAATTCAGAGTTCAGTCACACCTCGCTTATCCGATCCTCTTTCATCCGGATCCCTCTCCATCCGGAAGAAAATCATTGGTTACCGATTTACAGCATAAGCCATTCACACCTACAGTATGTGTGTTCGATTAACATTATCCAGTTCCCTTGCATATCCGGATATTTTGTGGAAAATGGATGTGTGTGGTTAAGCGAGGTCTGACTGTAGTACTGTTCTCACAGTCCAAATCAGTACTAGCTACTGACACTGTGCTACTCACTGGAATCCGATCACCGGAGTCAGGTAAGTACTAGTAGAGTGGCATGCACCAGTGCAGAGCCCACGGCCAGTGTTCACACAAGTGTGAGACTGCACATCACCCAGTGTGACATAGACTGGCAACGGAGTCAGGTGAGCATTTCTGCACCAGTACAGAGCCCAGTGTTGAGAACCCGGTATGAGACTGCACAGTCAGTGCCCAGTGTTACATAGACTGGCGAGATCAGATTATATCCAACAGCACTCTAGGTTTTATTTGTGCCTGAAGAGCACCATTTATATAGTGCTCTCCAGGCACATGCACAAACATGACCAGGGATGCAAACTTATCTAAGTGGTGCTCTTCAGGCACAATCTTCCTCAGCCTACTCAAGCTCAACTGATGAGGGGTGAGTTCTCCCAAACACTGTGTATTGAGCAGGGAGTGGTGCTTTCTTGCAGGTTTGCCAAGTGGATGGCCCGGCATTCTTCTAGACAGTAGTCGTGAGTCAGTCAAGTGTCAGTCAGTCGGCCGGAAGAACGAGCTTCAGCGTTTGGAGCACCCACCTTCTTCTACATGTACCTCCCAAGTCGTCACCGTTGAATATCTCAGTTAGCACTCTAGGTTGTTTATCATTGTACTTTGAGGAATGCAGTGTCCACACCAACGCAGCAGGATTTCAGACGGATACACTCAGTATGCTGGGAGAGCTTTGATGCCCCCCCCTGAAGGCAGACTGTACATGTCAGTTTCTTGTCTGTCTCTGTACATGCATGGTTCTCATGGGATGCATCATCTGTGTGTGGTTGCAGACAACGCAGCAAAATTTCAGACGGATACACCCAGCGTTCTGGGAGTGTTTTGATGCCCCCCCCCCCAGGCAGACAGCTGAACACAGCACAACAGTGCAGCTAGTCTAGTAAAATATGTCGCCTGATGACGGCACACAGTATGAAACTTAGGGTGTGTTCGGTTGGTACGATCTAGACCAAGATCGAACAGCTGGTCACCTGGAGCAGCCTCATGCCAACCAAACGGTACTCCAGAAACAGAGCACATCATTGTGAAAAAATGTGCCAAACCTGGTGTATTCTTCAAAATGTGTACGGGTCACCATGGTCACTTTGTACGGTACAACGAGTCCAACCCGAAAGTGTATGCACGTGATCATTTGGGATCAAAATAGATGTTCTCGCCAGGCCAAGTTCCACTGTGAAAAAGTGAAACTGCTCGGTCTGCTCCGGCCTCGAGGCCGGAGAAAGCAGAACATATTCTGGCCGATCCAGAACAGGTGCAGTCCCAACCAAACGTGCTGTTCTGGTGAATCCTGTTCTAGGTTGTACCAACCAAATGCGCCTAAAATACACTAGACTTGCTTGTGGCGAAAAAAAGAAAAAATGGGTCTGTCCGGGATTTGAACCCGGGACCTCTCGCACCCTAAGCGAGAATCATACCCCTAGACCAACAGACCTGCCACGTTGAACAACCACCTTAAAATGCACCATTACTTTAGAGTGATTTGGAATCCGCCCTTTTAAATGTATCCCACTTTCCCGTGCATAGTAGTCAAGTAATTTTCTCCATCGAAGAAAATAAGATATACATGTGTTGTATGTACTTGTAGACTGGTAACAACACTAGATGAGATATTAAAACTGACCTCCTCCGAAGAGCACCTGGCATTGTGATGGTCGTGTTATGCAGTTGCCTTCCCAGCACAGGTCCTGCGAACACATGTGTTCATGCATAAGAAAATCAGTTCCAAATCAGACTCCGACTTTCTTTCTGCAATTGGCTAAACAAACGTTCTTCAGATCAGGCAGGAAGTGTTGAAGATGCATGTGTACCCGAAGATGGGGTGACAGCATGTGTGCTGTATTTTTCCAGGAAATAGATATTATGCGAGTGATGTCACCGTTACGCGTCAGCAGGAAATGGGAATATTGACTACCAGCTAGCTTGCTATATTGATCGCTTGGATAAGTCAACGTCCTACTATATTATAATTCGAGCCAGAGAAGGGGAAGTTGCGACAGACACGGACATCACACATACACACGGAAAATGTGCGATAAGACTGTCGAATAGAGTGGGGAGGTAGGGGTGAAGTCTATACGAAATGCGTTACGTTTACAAAAAGTGCTCACTGAATCCGCTCATATTAAACTCTTGATCAGCACACACCAGAGTTGAGCAGCAGAACACAATCTAGGTTAATATCCAATATGTCTACACCCACTTATGTGAGCTACCGTGTGCGGGTTGGCCAAGACCGCAGTTCGAAGTGGTGGCATGACTTCTTCTTTCCAGCTTTTAATTAAAACTCAGTGTCAATAAAACTGTGAACGGTACCATTTGGCTGTTCAATAATACAACTAACGCTCCTCCTCCATGCGCTCTAAAGCCGACCATTGCTACCCTCGGTAGCCATTACTCACACCAGTAATTTCAAACCACGATATTCAGGTGCGTATCTTACCTCAGTTGAATCAGCACAGAACTCGCCGTTACGCCTGCTAGTCTCCGGACACTATACACAGGAGGAGCAGAGGACATCAGTGGAGATGATCTGAGCGTGACTCATGATACTCAGCAAGTGGCATTTTTTTCTTAATCAAAATTCGGAACGGGGCTTCACGCAGCTTCAGTGTAACAACGACTAAGTCTACGGCAATACTCAGTTTCACTCAGTTCCACTGCAATTTCACATCCATTTTCTTCTTCACATTCTAAATCCAGCCGGTGTTGCACGCACAAACCCACTCTACAGCCGTGTATGCAGAAATATATAATTAAACTAACAAACCCTCCTGTCTGCCCCATTTTCTCGGAAATTTTGATGATAGGCGGCCACAAAAAAATCTGGATACGCGGACAAACGGTATGGCAGATAGTGTCTTTCAGTTTGTTGCAAAGCTCTGCTATTTTTAACATCTGCTTCAAGCCGGCTTTCACTGGTAACCAAGGAGACTGAGGTTGACAGTAACCAGACAAGCAAAGGTCAATCGGTACAATCAGTTGTATGCATGCAGTGCAATCATCTTTAGTCTTACTGTAGGGCTGTTGCCAGAGCAGAAGTCCTCCAAGTCACACCTGTTGGTACCGTCGGCTGCACGACACGTTGCGCCACTGGTGCGAAACTGAGCACATGAATGCAGACACACGAACAGATGAATAGTAATAATATGAGCATGTACACGTCCTCAACACATGAGAAACAATACACTAGTATGTGATGCAGTGCAGTCAATTTCTTTAAGAAATCCGACAATTAAGAACCTGAAAACATCCTCACAGCTATGAAAATGCCCTAGCACCCTGCTCGCAGCTACAGTCATTGTAGCCCCGCCTGAACACACAGCAATGCAGCCCAAAGCTTTCCGCAGCATTCACAGCTTCTGACACCCTCACCCTCACCCCCCCCCCCCCTGCCCCCTCCCCCACCACATGTAAAAACACACACAAACACACATCAAGTACCCTGCCTGAAGCTAATCTATCCAAATGTTCGGGTTGACTTATTCCGGCAGCAACTGTACTGCAATAGGAGAAAGCAGAGCATCACTATCTGCAGTACTTGCAGCTCATGAATAGCCATCACAGTCAAGTGAGTGAGAGCTACACCAAGGGCAGCAGTAGCAGTAGCAGCAGCACTAACAGCAGCAGTAGCAGTAGCACCAGCAATAACAGCAGCAGTAGGTGCTGGAGCAGTGACAGAAGGGGGGGGGAGCAGCAGCAGCTATAATATCACCAGTACCATACCGAACATGTTACTAGGTCACAGCAATCTCCGCTGTCACACTCTCCAATAAATCGACACGTGGCTGCGTTGCAACAGGGATTGTCACACACCTGAAGAGAACACACACGCACACACATAAATGCCCGCATACACATGCAGGAAAGGACACACATACACACACAAACACATGAACACGCACACACGCACACACGCACGCACACGCACACACACACACACACACACACACACACACACACACACACACACACACACACACACACACACACATGCACGCACGCACGCACACACTCACACATACACACACACATACACACACACACGCATGCAGGCACACACACACACACACGTGCACACATACACACACACACACACACACAGTGACACACACACACTCACACACACACACACACACACACACACACACACACACACGCACAGTACAATACAGTCCTTATGTCGGAAACAGATACCTCCTGACTTTCTATACTTTTGTTCCGTGGATTAATGTTTGTGTATAGTATGTCCACCAGTGCTAATTACACTGGTTTACTTTAGGGGCATACTGAAAGCATGGATTTTCGTCCATATTAGAGACTAAAGAAGAGCTTCGGATAGCTATAGCCAAAAGAAAAGCCACGGATACTGGGCACCCTTTTTTATTGTTTCCCTCGGAGGCAAGTCTCAACAACACAGTTCTACTGACCAATTTCCGATAGTACAGTCGGACCTCGTTTAACCGCACACATCCGTTTTCCACAAAAAATATCAGGATAGGCGAGGAACCGGATAATCAAAAACATATACTGTATGTACCGTAAAGTCTTGTATAAAAGCCGCACTTGAATAGAAGCCGCCCTCGAATAGAAGCCGCAATTTTGGGCCCATCAAATCACACATAAGCCTGGTTTTAGTGTTGACATACATAGAAATACCTGTCTTGTATAGAAGCCTGTCTCATATAGAAGCCTGCAAAATTTCACCAAGAAAGTCATAGAAGCCGCGGCCTTTATACAAGACTTTACGGTCTGCACTACAAATGCTGTAAATCGGTAACCTGAACCATATTCTGCTGGATGGCGAGGGATCCGGGTAAAAGAGGACCGGATAAGCGAGGTCTGACTGTGCCTTGTTGAGAAAGCCCAGAAGTCTTTGCTAAGAAATATGCCATTTGAGAGGCAAGAAATTTCATTTGTTCTTTGCCACGTCATTATTCTAGTTCAAGGAACTGGTCTTGGCCACTACAGCACTGCCGTTCACCGAAGAACTTGGCGGGTCAGCCTCCTAGCCTAGACCATTATTATTTTCATGCGCTACAGGCTATTAGGAGATTAGAGGCCACATGCCTCGTACTGCTCTTTCCTCTCAGAAACTCAACACTTGCTAGACAGATACGAAAGAAAGAAAGACAAAATCATCAGTCACACCACCAGGACTCGAACCAGGCACCTTGCTATTCGCGAGCAATGCTCAAACCAACTGAGCTACAGGATGACTGCAGTGTTGAACTTGAAATGTATTCATTGGTACGCTGTGCGTGGTAAAATCTAGCCTGGCCATTCTTCGGCACTCCATACTTCGGGGGCCGACAGTACTGCACTCGAACCCTCTCTGCTTCTGATACCCAGCTGAGGTTATCTGCTGTGGCCACTGGCAAGGTTTGTAAATCGCTATAAGAGTATTCCGCGTAAATTGCCTACACACCACGTCAACGGTGGTAGGGTCAACGGCCGAACACAGCTGCTTGCCTTCTCCGGGTCAAGAGTAGACAGAAGAGGCACGGCACATGAAGAAAAATAAGCGTTTTGAAGACGGAAACTGGACAGTGCGCTATACAGTGCAATGGCACCCACGCATTAAACATGGCTGCGGCCTTTTTGCGGGGTAATTTGTCCCATACATGGCAGGTACAGCCTGCTTTGGTACACTTGTGAGTATGACCAGGGCATGCGCTAAGGATTAAAATGTGCTCTGACACAATGTCCTGCCAGTTGCAAAAATGGCCGGACTTGTCCGGACATGCAAATTTTCACATCAAATCACACAGTGTTCAGTGTAGAATTAATACCATCGAAATGTTATCACGATGTGAAAAGAGTCCGACCTTGGCTGCTGCTGCGACCCACGCTTTCTCTTGCCAGAGGACATCACTAATGACTATGAGACAACGGATTGACGTGCCTTTTCTTTTTTGTACTTTGCAAAAAAGTGCGCGGACACTTTGTCCGGATGCGTACAAAACATCCGGAAACTGACCGTAAACGGTCGGAAATTGTCCGATGTCGGACCGTTATTTCGGGCCCTGATGACCAAGAGTAGATAAACAAGAGTGTACAACTCCAGATCTACACCATCTCCAGATATCCCGGCCCACGGCGGAATTTTTGTTCACGTCACCTTTTTTCAGAAAACGCGCAATTTGCCGCTGAGCAGTGTGAGAGCACGTGCTGGGCACCGACCTTGTAATGTAAAGCCCGGCCAAGTGCACGAGGGAAAACTTTCCAAAGGACTCCCAGCACGGGCGTCGTAGAAAGGATTACGTCAATAAAATATTCCGCCATGGGCGAACCCATCCGGGATTTGCACGATCTCGTTTATCTAGTCTTGGTATGACTGCACACGGTTCTTGACCATTTATGTAAGGCTGGTATTACAGCGTGTACGGCTGAAATGGACTTGCCCCCCCCCAAAAAAAAAACAGCAGGAAGATTATGCATAGCTCCCATTGTGTAGCAAGATACGTACCTGCTCAAATCCACAATCGCACTCTTCTCCTTCTCCAACCACTCCATCTCCACACTCGGCACCTTCAGTGAAGGTCTAGGTGTACATGTGTGTGTTGTATGGAACGATATGGAGATATGGAGTGTTGTCATGGAAACATGAAGACACAGCGAAGATGAGCAACATTGCAAATGCAGCACCTTACAGCTAAAACAAATCACGTTTCGCTTGACTCAGTTAGACTGAGTTGTCAGCACCCATAGAAACGCTATCACCCTGCAAAGTTCTAAGGCGCAGATGCAGCTCCTAAAGCAGTGGGAGGTGAGTAGATCAGCCCACCAGCAAAGTGGTCAAAGACCGAAAATCCCATTCACTGCATCCATGTTTCCCTCGTGCCAGGCCATGACTTCCCAATTCACTAACAGGTAGAGTGGGGGATACATCTACAGACAGGGGAGAACAGCTCTGCACTTCGTGGAAAAACAGTCAACTTCGCTAATAACGACTGCGGATATAATGACAATTCGCGAATAATGACAGAATTTCCATGCCCAGAGCAAAGTTCTATCTAACCATAATACATATGTAATAGGTGTATTTATGCTACGACCTGTACAATGTCATACTCACTATTCGTATTTCCCGCTCGTTCCCCTTGGCAATAAGACTCACATATAGAAGAGCGCATGCTCCAGTGGGTCTCCAGTTCTGTTCTAGTCTAGTCTTGAGTTGTAGTTGTCCTGTTCTCCTTCTTGTCTACACTCTTGTACTTGCATAATTCAATACTATAAAACCCTTGTGTTTTGGTGTGAGGGGACTTCATTAGCCGGGACCTATTAAGCACATATAATGAGACTTCGGGGATAAGGACACTTTTCTGATGCCCCGCCGAGTGTCGTTATACGCAAAGTTGCATGACTGTAAACAGTGAAGCTTGCCTAAGACGACGTCGGGTCACGGGTCCGGGGGGGGGGGGGGGAGGGAAGTTCAGTACAGTAGAGCCTCTGAAGGCGACCACTCTGGTACAGCAGAGCCTCTGAAGGCGACCACTCTGGTACAGCAGAGCCTCTGAAGGCAACCACTCTGGTACAGTAGAGCCTCTGAAGGCGACCACTCTGGTGAGGTGACCACATGCCTCAAAGAACCACTGCGTACAGGACCAAGGGATGACCAAGGGATGACCAAGGGATATGATATTTCAACTCAAATGACCCTGGATAAGGAGGCCACCTGTACACGTGGACCACATTTTGAAGGTCCATTGAGCGGTCGGCTTAGACAGGTTTCACTGCACTCTATTCATCCACATACAAGTGCAAGCCCTTATATGCAAAGAATGCGGGGGGTTTTCCATTTCGCCAGGAAACAAATGTACTGGACATAAGGAAAGGAAGTCTCCAAAATACATTCTTGGGTCTTGAGTTTTTTTCCATGCCTTTACCGTAAAGTCCGGAGCAAACGCCCACCCCATTTTTGCAAGATCTGCTGGCCTGTACACACTGACCCCATGCACTGTCACCCCTACTGTACGAAAGTGCATCTCACACCGTAGCGGGAAGAGCACTTTGCTACGGTAAACTATGTCCACTTTCCTGGTTTCAAAACCTCTTTGGGCACTAGCCACGAGCTAGCTCGTAGTGATTTTATAATGATGGTTGTTTTATTTCGCAAATCCGAACGGGTTTTCTTCCGAATAACAAGGTAGCGAAGAACAGAGTATTGAAGGAACCAAATACACTTCTGACGGTGTTTCAAGCCATCATTTAGAGATCACACAACGCCCAAAGGCAAGTGTTTTTCTTGGGCACTTCGGAGTTTTCAACAAGTTAGCAGCGACTTTGTAGGTGTAGCTTCTGTGACATACCCTGTTCGACTTGCAACTGCCATATTGGGACCAGTCAAGTAGTTGACTGACGCTTCATCAGAACAATTACTGTTCCTGACAGCGCGACATCGTGGCACTGCACAAATTTCTACGGCATTACTCGTACCACATGGAGAACGAACTACCACAAAGAGGACACATTTATCGAATGAAAGGAAATCTCGACAGAAGTGATTTCTTTGCAGGAAGATGATGACAATCGCTTTTGCACAGAGTCCTGGTAGGACATAGGCAGTTTGTAGGCATTACAGTCGTTCTCGTACGCATTCGACCTTCATGCCAGTTGCTTACAACTATATTGACCTGAAAAAGACGAAAATAGTATGGACCCGCTGGGGTGGGCGTTTGCTGCGAAGTGGGCGTTTGCTCCGGACTTTACGGTATATGTGGAGGCGCCCTTGTATTCAAATATAAGTGCGTGCCCTTTTAAGTGCGTTGATATGGTATGTGGTCGCTGTATACAGGTGGTCTCCTTATCCAGGTACATATCGATAGAAATCATACCTCTTGGTCCAGACGGTAGTGGTCTCTGGGGCAGGTGAGCGTGTTATCAGAATGCTCGCTTTCACAGGTTCTCCTCCCAGCCTGTCATCGACGATATTTTCAAGTGAATTTTCGTCTTCCTTCCTACGGGGACTCACGATGTCCACTAACACCCGGTGAATCCAACGATAGACGATATTGATAGAGGATCAAAAGTCCAATCAAGCTTTATGAGCGGCGAGGAGACAGCAGTTTTATAACCGCGATCAATAAGACAAGCTGAATCGACATTTGTGTATACGCTATTCATGCAGTGTTGCTTTAATGGCTAGTGTTAACACTCACAGCCAAGCATGGGCGGGAGTTGCGAATGGCGTTGAAACTGTTGACACTGCACTGACTGAAGCGGTTGATATTGCTGGTACTGCGTAAGGAATGGCAACAAACACAGAAAAACACAACCAAGATGGAACTAGCAGCACCGGCAGTAGGGATATGATTGTAAAAAAGCGGTTTGTCCTGCAGTTTTGACGGCAATATCTTGTTCAAGTTTTGTTTGGTGGGGGGGGGGGGGGCTGCTAGGGCCGGTCCGGTTGGTCAGGTCACTACCAGGTCAATTTTCTGGCCGCCAACACAAGCGTCATGCTGCGGAGGTATTGTGTAGTTAACCGCCACATCGTACACAAAGTATGAATGGCTATTGTATGGCAGCCTCGGACCAATGAAAAACTGCTTCCGGATGTCCTGGCGGGTAACGTGAGCCCAGGGAGATCATGCTTGTACAGTGAAGCTCATTCAGTACTTACTCTGATTAGATAATAGTATGCAGGAGCGTAGCAGGTCCCCCTTTAAGGGAGATGCACGGCCGCACATGTGTAGTATGGCTGGTGTATGTCATTCATGGTCATTATGTGCATGCTGAACCTAGGTGAAGGTCGAAATTTTTAAGGGGGCCGGTGCACATCCTATCCTCTCTCTCTCTCTCTCTCTCTCTCTCTCTCTGTCTATTTATTAGGGAGAGAATATTATGTCAAATATGCCATAGGGGCTGGAGTCCGATGGTTGTGATTTTACATCAAGGCAGTCTACAGCAAAGAGGCCATAACATGTCGATTGCTTCTTTTGATGTGGTATCCATTTTGTGCTACTACAGACAGAGTGCAAAGCGATCCCCAGGTCTGTGCAACGACTGAACGTTTCTTAACCCTTTAAGAGCCGCCCCATACTTGAATGCGTCGTAAACGACGCATTCAAATGCAAAACTTCAAAAGATCGTAACTCAGTCCAATCTCGCTCAAATCCAGTGATCGAAATATCCAGGGCGAAGAGAAAACTCTCACCTGTCGGGAGAAACAGGAAGCGCTGCGAGCAACGGTTCCCGAGATAAATCACTCGTAAGTTGAGCCGCGATCGCGGCAATTTCAAAAGCGCGCAGTGCGACTTTAGTATTGAGAATTTTGAGACTTTTCGTCACGCTGGTTTACTCGAATTTGCACGGGTTTCACTGTTGATATTATCAAGAGTACACAGCGAAAAAATTGGAACTCCACGATCGAGTAAAATGAAATATCTGGTGCGGGACGCAATTGGGCGCATTTGGGGCATTTTTCGTACTGTCGCTGCGATCTAGCGCTGGATAGACGGTGTGCTGGCTATCATGATCGACCTCATTCTCTTCCTCTCGCGGAGACCGTTCCAGGAAGCCCTAGATTGTGAGGATTGAGTGAGTAGAACTGAAGCTATGATCCAAGGAACACGAAAAAATGCAGAATTTTGAAATTTTCCTGTGGCTCTTAAAGGGTTAAGGAGACTCCATGTTAGAAAACCAGGAATAATCTGATTCACAGTTATGAACAAGTGTCATGACATGATGACATAATCAGCTCCAGTGTCATGACATCATGATGAGATATTCAGGTCAAGTGCCATGACATGATGACACAATCAGGTCAACAACATAGCAATGCTACTCACCCGAGTGAGGGAAACATGATGCAGGGTCTGTTGGCCGCGCAGTTGTTACAAGTAACGCGACCTAGAGATCAACCATGTGTCCCCACGCATGCAGATATGCAGGACAATGACGATATGTGTGAACATGCACACAAACACAAGTTCACACATACACACACGTACACGTACATGTACATGACATACATGTGTGTGCGCATACGCACACACACACACACACACACACACACACACACACACACACACACACACACACACACACACACACACACACACACATATGCACGTGCACACAAACACGCGCGCACGCGCACACACACACACACACATACACACACACACACACACACAAACACACACACACACACATATGTGAGGTTGCTATATCCAAGGTTGTTATATCCGAGGTTGTTATATCCAAGGTTGTTACGCACACTTGGTGTGTTGAGTACTGTCACGAACAACCACAACTCCATTGCATGGAACGCCCTCTCGGCTGATGTAAGATCGATAACTGCTGCCGATCAATTCAAGAGAGCCCTATCTGATATTGACCTACTTAACTTGTAAACTCTATGCCAACAGTCAAACACCTCTCGCTGTACTTCATGTTCCCTGGACTGCTAAAAATTGTGCCCATCCAACAAAGTCTGCCAATGTTCACACATATATTTTCATGAAATGCTTCCACTACATTTTGTTATCGCAATTTAAAAAATTCACACAAATTGAGTGTCAGCATAAACACAATGCCATAACACACATTTCTATAATAATGACTATACCGCTTGCATGTCTTTATCTCTATAATATTTCCTCATATAATTTCGAAGAGAAAAGGACATATGGATACGAGTTAAGAGTAACTCTCCATCACTGTAACATGATACTATATACAGTCAGAAAGTGCAATAACTAGGCTGTATATAGTATCATGTTACAGTGATGGAGAGTTACTCTTAACTCGTATCCATATGTCCTTTTCTCTTCCACATTTATTTATGGCTCAACATCCGAGTTTCATATAATTTCCTTCATCTTTCTGTGAGAACCGGACCTATAGGCCGGTAAGAAGGCAATCATGCCTGTGCAATTGGTGAAGTAAAATAAAAGTCAACAACAACAACTCCCTCCGAGTTTATCCAAGGTTGTTATATGCAAGGTTGTTATAGCCAAGATTGACTGCATTGGGAGGGTCCCTTACCTGGATCTCCGTCGTGAAGCATGTTGACCACGTGACCAAGTTCATGACTCATAATCAGAGACGTGAAGCTGGACGTTGCACCGGACAATTGCTGTACACGAGGGAGGACAGTCGGTACAGACACTCGCGCTGACTATGTGAATAGTCAAACAAACTAGTGACCTAACGGTAAACTAGTAACACTGAGACAATTCAACTGCCACAAACTACAACAAAATCACATGTAGGAAGTCCTTTCACTTTGGCCACCGCTCGTTGCGTGACAGTCACGTTTGCGTATTTTAAGGTGATGTACTACATTCTCAGCCCGTCACCAGCATGCACTCTCAGCCGAACCAATGCACGTAGCATAAACACACCGGCACAGCAAGAACAATTCCGTTGACAGACAATTGTTACGCCTCTAGACAGCTGGTTCGATCCTTCGAGCTCATCAGTAGAGGATGATAATGATTTTACAATATAATTGTAAGGCGATGGTGAATGAAATCCGGGCTCGGGAATACGTTAGCACCCTACACAAGTGTACAGCCCAGTGTTTGCAGGTCTGGGATTGCACAATATCTGTTATGTCTGGTCCTAAGGGCCCACACACAGCATTACTCAGGTTCGTACAGTTATTGTAATAATCAAGGAACAGAAAGACAAGGAAAAGAGAGCTCACATTCTCGGACCTAGTCCAGCACAGCAAGCATGCAAAACCAGCCACGAGCCCAGGCGCGCATGCGCGCCTTATCACATCACGTACACAGCAATATCCTGCACCAGTACACAGCCCAGTGTAGGCAGGTCTGGGACTGCACAGTGCCCTGCACCACTGCCCAGCCCAGTGTATGCAGGTCTGGGACTGTACAGTGCCCTGCACCACTGCCCAGCCCAGTGTATGCAGGTCTGGGACTGTACAGTGCCCTGCACCACTGCCCAGCCCAGTGTATGCAGGTCTGGGGCTGCACAGTGCCCTGCACCACTGCCCAGCCCAGTGTATGCAAGTCTGGGACTGCACAGTGCCTTGCACCAGTGCCCAGCCCAGTGTATGCAGGTCTAGGGCTGCACAGTACCCTGAATCAGTGCACAATCCAGTGTCTGCAGATGAACGGACTACACGACATCGGACACTAGCCGACTCACGATGTGCAAGCATGCATGACATGTAAAAGTATAACAAGTAGATGACTCTGGCAGACATACCTCTACTAGAGAATGTCCATTTACTGTACACACGGTGTTGACTGGTGCCAGGCCTATCACGTTGCCGTCGAAATTTACCCCCCTGAACAAACATCACACAAGCACAGGCATTGGTTTCAGTGTGTGCAGAAAGTTGTCCTCCGCATTTCTTCAAGAAGCATGAACGAGCATATCTAGAGAGCATAATGCTCCCTAATAACAATGAGCATTATGTTCATGGTTTCTCTTGACAAGGGGAGCAAAACGTATGCGTAGACTAATTTTCTTCCAAACCCTTTCTTATCTCAAGTAGTCAGAGATAGTCAACGTGACAGTGAGAGGCATTGGAACAGTTCCAACTTAGCCCAATATAGTTCGAAGTGAAAGACAACCCAAACATGCCATGCAAAAGGCCGATTCGCGACACAACTTTTTGCGACACGACATGCGACTTGCGACACCTGCGACGAGCTGCGACAATGACACACGGTTTGGTGTTTGCGACATCCTTATGCACTAATTATGCACTAGCTGCATCTGCCGCTAGGGTTTACCGGGTGTTAGCAGCCGTCGTGAGTTCCCTTCGGGAACGGACACGATAATTAACTTTTTTTACTTTACTTATGCACTAGTAGTACTATGTACATGCACTGCACGTGCACCCAGGGTAGAAACTGTACTCCCAGGGTAGAAACTGTACTCCCAGGGTAGAAACTGTACTCCCAGGGTAGAAACTGTACTCCCAGGGTAGAAACTGTACTCCCAGGGTAGAAACTGTACTCCCAGGGTAGAAACTGTACTCCCAGGGTAGAAACTGTACTCCCAGGGTAGAAACTGTACTCCCAGGGTAGAAACTGTACTCCCAGGGTAGAAGCTGTACTCCCAGGGTAGAAACTGTACTCCCAGGGTAGAAACTGTACTCCATTTGAGTACGTTGCGTGTCGCATGTGGCAAAAGTTAAACTGTCTTCAACGTCGGCGATAGGTGCCTTGCGACTGCATGCGACAGCTCGCGTCAGGCAGTTTCTTGTCGTAACTGCCGCAGATTGCGTGTCACGTCGCGCAAAAAGTTGTATTGTGAATCGGCATTCGGGACACAGAGGGTGAAACACAACTAAGAGCCAATCAGAATGTGCAACAGGAATGAACCACCAGTGTCAGTGTGTGAACAGACTGTAAATGTGTGACAGTATCAAAAAATCACAGTTCCCGTGAGACTCGGCTGGAAGCTGAGTTTTCCGCATCCGAAGGAACGCCACCGCCCTCTAGGATCAAGGCGCAGATGCAGCTCCTAAGCGGTGGCAATGGGAATGGGATTTTGGTCTTTGACCACTTTGTGGTGGGTGACAGTATCAAAGGAGAGACACAATGAGAAGGTGACAACTTGGCAGTGGTAGTGTAAACTGTTAAAGGGACTGGCCCCCTCCCCCTTTACCCTGCCCCCCCCCCCCCCTGCCCTTCCCCATTCAGCGTGAGGCTGGTTACAGCCACAGTGCGTCTTACGTGACAAACTGTGAGGTATCGATTCGGGCGTTGAACGAAAGAGCGTTGGCTCGGACGAAGGCAATGTATCTGTCCAGTAGCACTCCGCCGTTCGTGGTGAGTGTAAACGGGTCCGAGCCAGAGAACTGTGCCAGACCACTGAGTGACACTCGCATGTTGATGGAGTTGTATGCCTGCGCAGTACAAAAGATCATGCACACAATCGTGCTAGCTATTAGTCGTAAGTTAGCTCAAACCACTCTGGACATAGAACCCTGTTATATATGTACTCTTGGTATTTTACATGTTTTTGCCATGAAACTCTGGGTACTGTTACAACGACACAGCCCTTTTTTACTTCCTTTTGTGTACCTCTTGCGCACTACGCTCTGCCCATTACGGGCATTTAAGCAATATTGCAGGTTGAACTCATGTGTACTGTGCCTAGTAGTAGTAATAATTATATCTACCTCTCCAGCACTAGCATGATCACACTGAGCGCATTCGCCTGGATCAATTCGGTATGGACTCAAACTGGACACAGACAATGGTCCACTGTACACTCACATTTCTCTTATCTGGACCCCAAACTGTTACCCTGACCCCAAACCGTTACTTGGACCCCAAACTGTTACCCGGACCTGTTACCCGGACCTGTTACCCGGACCTGTTACCCGGACCCCAAACTGTTACCCGGACCTGTTACCCGGACCTGTTACCCGGACCCCAAACTGTTATCTGGACCCCAAACTGTTATCTGGACCCCAAACTGTGACCCGGACCCCAAACTGTTACCCGGACCTGTTACCCGGACCTGTTACCCGGACCTGTTACCCGGACCTGTTACCCGGACCTGTTACCCGGACCCCAAACTGTTATCCAGACCCCAAACTGTTATCTGGACCCCAAACTGTGACCCGGACCCCAAACTGTTACCCGGACCTGTTACCCGGACCCCAAACTGTGACCCGGATCCCAAACTGTTATCCGGCACCCTGTGGATGAGGTTAGTGGATATATATCTACTTTGCCATTTTTTGTTGAAATAGTGCCAGTCATAGGCCAGGTCTCCCGTCCTGCCCCATCAAAATGTACGTGATTCAGTGTTACGGACATTCGAAGTAACGTGGGTAGTGCCTGGTCCCGGATTGCAAGTACAGTCAAATCTGCCGTTAGCGACCTCTGCTGTAGGCGACCATCTACCGTTAGCGACCGATTTTCCGTGCACCGACGGTTTCACATACAAATTGATCTGTCCAGAGCGACCATCTGCTGTACGCGACCAGCGATCGCGATTTCATGCACGGTGGCTGCATTCAAATCTGCTGTCAGCGACCGCGACCCACGTTCAGTCAGGTGCAAAACTGTACTTGCCAGTGCGCTGTCAACTGCAAGGTGTGAAAATGCGCTGTCTTGCAAGTGCAGTCGACTGGCCCTGGAACCCCTATATTCTATTGAATATCCAATAAAATGATATTAAAAATCACATTATTCTCGTCGATTTGAGTACGGCATAATATGCATGCCCAGTATGCTGGATTTACCATACATCTGCCGTAAGAGACCATCTGCCGTAAGAGACCGCTTTTTCTTGCACCAAGGGGCGGTCGCTTACGACAGATTTGACTGTATTACTGAGAGAGATGTGCATGTACATGTATCATGACATTCGCTACATATGGGTTTGTTGTGCTTGAGTAGGCATGGGGAGTGAACAATATGAGCTGAAACATACGCATGGTTTAAAAGCCTGTCTCGTATAGAAGCCTGTATTGAATGCAAGCCTGGTGTTTAAGATACACTGTCAGCACATAATCCTAGCTTAGTGTTGACATACATAGATATACGTGGTTTGAATAGAAGCCTACCACTGAGAATGGGCTGGAGGGTATACGCGACATTACGGAATACACAAGTCCCCTGTCCACTGCATTAAGACTTGAGCAATGCTGAGATGATGCTCGCACTTACCAAGTCCATAATGTTAACTGCTTGATGGATGAAGTCCTCAGCAGCCGACACACTCCCGCCAACTAGGTTGATCTGCCAAAGCACCCCATCCACAATTGCATGAAGTATTCAGCAGCGGCTTAAAAATGTCAAGCTTCCCCCAGCACCAAACTATGGTCGTGAGTCAAACAGCACAGGTCTCGCTAATCCGGCAGGAGGAATCGGCGACAGACGGTAGCATACTAACAAGAAGAAATCTGTCTTTTTAAAAATAGAAAATGTTCTACAGAAATTGATTCTTAAGGCCGACTCATACTTCATTTCGCGTACGGGAAACGCGTCGCGTCGCGAAAAAGGTGATCTGAGCTCAACTATCTCGCATACGGGAAATCCATCGCGCTACCGTCGCGTGACTTTCCCGTACGCAAAATGAAGTATGAATCGGCCTTAACACTGTTGCCAGTGAGCTTGAGAATGAGCGAAAATGTTTACCTCTGGTACACGTAAACCAGTCGATTTCGGGGAATCGTTATGTTTGCGGTTCGTTAGAATAATGACTTTTACAGTATGCTAGCATAAAAACTAAAAACTTAGCCCCATGCTTGGTCGAAACCATCATAAAAGCCGTGTTTGATTGAAGCTTGGCAAACATACATGGTACATCTCCAGCATAATAATGCTGTATGCCGCCTACTGTCAGTCAGCAAATATTCGGTGCAGGTTTATTTTCGGCTATTTTCGGCCTGATCATATGTATAGGATATACCCTGAGCTGGAGTGTATATCCGACTTATACCTACCTCAGTCTGAATCCTAAAAAGGAGAATATATTAACAGGAATAGTGACTGAATACTCACAAATCGTCGGTCCGTAATGACGAGGAAGTCAATGACACGCCTAACACCGGAGTTTGGACCGAGGATTGTTTGCCGTTTCATCTGCAGGGGGCACGCATGACATAGGGCATGTTTGATTGGTAGGATCGGGATCTAGATCAACCGGATCCACTGGATTCACACCCTTTCGATTGGTCGAATCCGGATTCGGATCCGTTGGATTTGGATCCGGTCAACCCACTTCGGGGCGCAGGGTTGACCGAATCCAACGGATCCTTTTTTGCCAAAAAATGTACTCTGTACGTGATGCGTGTACAAATGGTGGGAATAAAAGCGACGGTGCAGAAATTGTTGCTTTCTCTCATGGAAACCCTCAAAAATCACTCAAATTCCAGATTCGATCAATGGCAGTGTTTGATTGGACCTTGGTGGATCCAAAGGATCCACTCAATCGATCTGGATCCGGATCCAACCAATCGACCATGCCCATAGATACCATCCAGAACATGCACCACTTCAACAGAGGTTGTGTATATAGGGTGAATGTGCAAGCCATCAACAGGAAAAGGTTATCAGTATGTATGCTACCCCTCCCATGCACACTCCTATGCACAGTCACAGACAGATACGCAAAAGCGCACACGCAAGCATGCACATGCGTACATACGCGCGCACCCACTGCACCATATGGGACACGCACGCACGCATGCACACACACACACACACACACACACACACACACACATACACACACACACACACACACACCACGGCTGACCAGTTAGTGGTCTCTCACTAGCTGGTACGTGCATCCATCTGGAATTCCTGTAGCCTTGCTTACCCGACCATGCAGATCCTCTCCAATGATCTTTGGAGCTACCTGGTCCATTGGATGATCAAGATAAGACTCATGACCCTCGCTATGATTGGTTCCTGTTCAAGGTCAAGGATAGAAATTCAGAAAGAAAATAATGTTTGAGTAAAAACTACACACATAAATACACTAAAAAAAGAGCACGCGTCATAGCTTAGTGGTAGAGTATTGCTGGCCATAAGCAAAGGTTCCTGGTAAGAGTCCTGGTGGTGAGTCAATTTTTCTTCAGACTTTTCCCGTTTGCATCTTTCCCTCAAAACCAATTTCACTTCACTGTTTTCGAAGGACCTGAGATGTGTGCTCTTTCTTAGCATTCCAGCTTTTTTGGGCTCTGAGGAAACATTTAAATACATGTACAAATAGGACACAAACAACAGACGTGAAACGCTGTGTAGCTGTAACCTAAAGTTCCACGCCTTTCAGCGATCGTCAGACATAGGCATTCAGCTGCTTGGAGCTGCCTCGTCTGGCCCTGTCTGTGCGCAATAAGATATGTTGGAATTGACCAGGTACATATGGGCTGTCCGGCTGCCAGGATCCACCCCCTGACATTTTGGTGAATTTTGGAAATTTTGGCAGAAGACTGGGTTCAAGAGTAAAAAATGTATTCGAATAGGAAATTGTTTAGAAGTTGAATTTTATTTTCGACTCGGATGTAGCGTATGTGCGGGCATTTCACAGACGGTGGTAACTGTGTGTGGTCACGGTAGCCATTGGAAACGCAATGTAGTCACAATGCTAAGTCACAGGAGGGCCCTTTCAAATGCAGCACGAAATGCTCTCATGAGAGAGTGCTCGAGCTTGGACTCAAAAGTAAAAGTTCAAACATCGACAATATTATTGTAGAAGGCACCCCAAAATGGTTATCTGCAATCTTGAGTACTGGTTTGTTCTGGTGTTGGCTTATGTGGCTAGTTCATTTGGGTGTGGGTCTGGAACACCGCTCATACCTGGCCCTGTTATGCATGCTAACATCTGCAGGCAGGAACCCTCTCCCAGTGCAGACTCTCCTAACGAATCCCTCCCCCCCCCCCCCCCCCCCAAACACACACACACACACACACACACACACATGAATGTTTTAAAACACATACAAACACACACATTATACACACACACATACACACAGAGTATTCTTGCATGAGGCCAGCAGAGCATACCGCATCTAGCCCAGGAGAAGGCGCTATGAGCATCTGCAGTACGGTAGATTATGTGAGACCCGGACATCTGAAAGCACACAGAAGGTGTCATGGGCATTATTTCTATACGGCACAACACTACGTGACACCAGTCTGAAGCAGGGTCTGCTAGCTGAGCTGGTATGATAGACGACAGCAGTGGGTGGGTGTTTGCGTACAACATGGGTTATTTGGGGGAATATGGATGTCTGACTAAGAGATTATCCTTGTGTATTGCGGTAATATGACTATGATCGCTATGACTCCCCTCAATATTTTCACCGTGTTCCCCCTTATGTTCAGGCTGCCCGCTTTGGAGCCATCAGTTGCCTGATGATCGTAGTAATATGTGAAACTCAGAGTTGCGACACAGTTTCCAACCTCTCTCTTGTGACTATCAAACAAACAGGGAAGACAATAAAATAGTCTATCAGCTGACATGGCAGTGGTCATGGCTCGACCGCTTACCGTGGCATTCTTGTACAGCGGGGCAGTGTTGTACGCAGTCTCTCCATCGTAGAATGTAGCACTGTGCCAGAATGAGATATGGGAGAAAGAGAAAGAGGGAGACAGAGAGAGACAGAGATAGAAAGAGAATGTACTTCTATTTGCTAGTTATCGCACATAGAGAAGTGCTACCCAACAAGTCGAAGAATAGCAAACTTTGAGCCAGCCGCGGTAAGTCAAGAGCTCCTAAATGACGTTAATTTTCACTAGTGCTGAAACGATTACGTTTTTTCCTTAGTGGCTTAGCTGATACCATAACGATCGGCTTATCGGCTAAACGATTATTTTTGTAATTACATCAGTACATGTACATTCTGTGAATTTCAACAAAATTACGAGTCCAACATCGCCAACGACGAAAAGTGGGCGCATAGATCCCGCCACAAGTCTGTCAGCTGTTCGGATTGACCAGACGAATACAGACAAGACAGAGGCATCTCACTGGTTGCAACCCAAGTGCTGATGGTGCCCTTCGCTTGTGACTTCGCTGACTCCGATGATGAAGTCAGGGAAGCCGGCCAGGAGTGCAGATCGGCGGATTTCGACGGATGAGCTGACTTGAGGCACACCAACAAGTAACTAGTTGCTTTTCCTGTCTATGCTCAAAATAGGCCCAGACGCCAGGCCTAGCTCGTCGTCGAGCAAACTGGTTCGGGAACCGTCGACAGAACGGAAAACATGAAACTGAAGACCACTTTACTGTCTTTAGCTCAAGACTACTCGCACGTGGAGGGAACTCCAGCCCCTGCAGCTAGTGTAGACACATACTGAGCCTGCCCGTCCTGCATGCTGTATGTCAGAATAGTAGTCAGCTCAAAAGACGGCAACAGTGATCGCGCCGATGTTACTCAGATCGCGCTTGTACTTTATACGTACATCGATGTTGCAAGTGTACTGTCTGTCATGTACATATTCGTGTCGTAGACCCAGGTGCTCGAAGTCCGTACATGGTATCCTAAGTTCGTACGCCCATAATTTCATGTTCTGTTATTGTATTCGACTCAAATATTTTATGGAGGGGACAGTGTGGTATGTTCTCCTCGCGTACCAATTTTCAGGGATCTACGATAAGCAGAAGTCCCATACCACGCGAGTGGGTTTTCGAGTGTCCATACGAAATACAAATTGGGTTACATTTCATGCAAAAATCAACTTTGCCAAGACCGATTTCGAACGGACACAGCGTCAAACGGACCTTCACTCAATCATCAAGAGCCAGCTTAGAGCTGACAATGGCCAGAGGAGAAGAATTTACAGAGAACCACCAATCCTTGCAGAAAGGTGGACACTCCTGGCATCTCCACCACTGTTTTCCCGCGGTTTTCACAGCGCAGCTGCTTCTTCTCTGAGCCGACTAAAACAGCTTGCATTTCGGCAACAAACTACACTTTTGCAAGAAATACTGGTGGAGGCACATGCCAAACATATCCCTTCGGTGCTTTCGTCGTAACCGATGGATTGCTAGTTAGCAATTAGCGAAATATGTGCGTATTTCGAGTCACCTCTGATCAGTACGGACTTAGAGTACCCTCTGCGACACCAAAATTTGATATGAAAAATCAGCGAACTCCAGAGAAACAGATCGGATCGAAAGATGGCCTGGTTCAATCGAGACTGGCCTCAGAACAAACTTGGACAAGATACCTTCCATCCACGAGCAGGATTCTGGCAAGTGATCATTGCTAGTGTGAGTTTCAGCTCGGCAAACACACACTGTAAAAGTGTACGGACTTCGAGCACCTGGGTCTACTCGCAACACTTTCGATGCATGCACGCTTTGTGCGACCCCCAAAAGGGGGGAAATCCCGTACCGAGCGTAAGTACCATTCTACTCGTTTAGCCGATAAAATCGAAATAACCGTTCGATCTATTTCTTATCGAGTAAGTAACGAGTAATCGATATAATCGTTTCAGCACTAATTTTCACACGTGTTCACACAATGCAAGGGGAGTTGGGGAAGCAGGTTAGCATTGCCATGAGAACAGGTGAGGGGGGGTTAGGATCAGCAGAGGGGATTGTGAGAGCAGGTGAGGCAGGAGGAGGGGGGGGGGGGGCAGGTGAAGGTAATTGTGGAATCGGGTGAGGATAGGTGTGAGGTCAGGTGAGAGGATCTGGTCTACTCACGTGAAGCCATCGCAGGTACTAGCAGCCACCCAAGTGTCCTTGCTGTCACCGCGTACAAACCCGTGATAATAGCAGACGGACGGAGGTACCTATGCACAGTGTCATGCATAAAACAAGTACACACGAAATTGAATTAAATATACACCTTGTGTGTCACCTTGGTGGACTGTTAGTCATAACTAGTAACTTATAGGTCCTTTTCTCTTTAAATATTACTATCGGCTCAGCATCCGAACACACAAGCGCTTTGTCTGTGCAGACGCCGAGACCGCCAAGGTCGGCTGAGCAGCAGCGCCCCACCACCACTTTACGCATTCATTCAGGAGCATAGTGGACTTAGTAAAAAATTAATAAAAAATTAACACACACACACACACACACATACAAGGAATAGTGATGGCATAACCAAGTCAAATAGATATATGTAACAACTCAGCACACCATAAGCTCTAGGAAGGAAGTCAAAAAGTTCAGGGAAGATTAATCACAGGCAGCACACCAAAACCTGCAAAGCCTCCCAGTTTCAGTATTCGATCAGATACTAGTACGTCTTAAGCTCACCTTATCAAAGATAGGTTTTTTAGTGACCTTGTCTTCCCTGAAGTTCAACGATCTCTCACCAAATGCAACTCTACAAACAAAAAGATAACAGGAGAAACTTGAGCTCATGCATGTACAGAACATTGACAACATTTAACTCAGATACTGAGCCAATAAAAATATAATTAAAATAGAAGAAATCACATGGAAACGAGTTATGAAGCAACTATCCACGACTGATAATAAGCAGTCAGAAAGTGCGATAACAGCGCACAACACCATCCATAACCATAACAGGGCACAAAACTGGAGGTGTGTGAGAGCTAGGTCTCAGGTCGTCGAATGTCACAGTAACATGTCAGTTGTGTGCCCTGTTATCGCACTTTCTGACTGCTTATTATCTTGTTACAGTCGCGGATAGTTGCTTCATAACTCGTTTCCATGTGTTTTCTTCTATTTTAATTCACAACATTGACAGATATTACCAGTACACTGAACCAAGAACAGCTGCTACCTCATTGAATTTAGAGAATACTCCCAACACATCACTGCAGTGACCGCACGTTGCATTGGATATGTGTGAGCGAAATGGATGACGAAAGATATGCTCCTCTCTACTCCATAGTACTAACTGCGAATGTATTCCAATGAATTGCCACTCGGCCAACAAGGCTATAATCGGATACAAGAGAATCGGAGGAGCTAGGCTTGGATATATGACCGGAAGAAGTGCAGTACAAATATGACGTAATGGATATAGGTACACATCACTGTTCACAGGAATACTGTCTCCAGTTCTTCCAAACCATGGATGTTTTGCGTGCAGCAAAACCATGCTGTGCATTACAAGTCTCTGTGTAATGCCTTACTGGTTCAATAGTAGATCCAAGGTCCATGTCTTGCCAAAACCGGACACATTGATACTTAGCGTCCCCTTGTACTGAAGCTGTATGCAAGGAATCAAACCAAAACCAAGTAAGTCGAGTGTTTTGTGAGTGATCGCCTCCGGAGTAGGCCAGCTACTACATAACTCCATATTGTAGCAATCTAGCACTCTCGTGTGGGTTAATGCCTTTGCTTTTCGCACTACGCAGAGCTCACTGACTTGTCGGTTTGGGCACTCTGGCAAGGTACGTTCGGGCTTGGTTTTGGCTCGGCCTCATTTCCTGAATGCTGCGCTGATGGGTCCACAAAGGACGAAACAGTTCTGTCCGCAGATTGAGTAACTCCACAGGCTTCAAAGAAAGTCTGAAAAATTCCGCTATCATCATTGCTGCCCATAAGCGAGGTTCTCGGGTTCAATTTCTAGTGGTAGCAGGACGTTTTCTTCAGACCTTTTCAGTTTCAACTTCCTCAGACATATGACCCTTGATCATGATCCTTTGATCCAGACACACTATATGAGGCCATCGGTATCCTAACCCTGTGACAACGTTGGGTCCTTGGAGACTCCAAAGTGATGTTCAAGATGCTATAAGTCACCAGGTCAGGTTATGTGCTGGGCAGTGAAGCTCACTCCCCCCCCCCCCCCCCCCCCCCCCCCCCGTGATTTAGATAGCACTGCACTCTCAAGTGCACGCACAGCGCAGGGTTTGCAGCATTTTCGGGTCATGCAATCCCCAGTGCTATCCTATCAACAAGAGCGGATTTCTTTACTGCAGCCATAGATAATGCAGTGAAACTCTAATAAGAGCAGGGGGGGGGGGGGGGGCGTCGGACACGGTACGGTCACTAGGGTATTGACCGTACCACTTGTTGCCCCAGGTGCCCTGTGCGCGTTTTCCAGCAGCTTGCATATGCCATTGTTACATGTGGAAAACGTGCACTTGCGCCATTTCTGGTGTATAAGAATGATCATTCCTCCATTATCATCATTATCATCCTCTACAGGTGCCCTGTGAATCAATAAAATACACTGATCTGGGCTCTAAATTTCCAACATGTTCGGTCCAGCAAACCCTCCCCACGAGTAAATTGTACTTCAGATGGCTGTCGTGACCGTACCACACTAAATTACCTTCTGACATTGCCCCTGTAAGAATCTACAATGATAGTACTACTACCGTAGTAAAGTACCGCCAGAGCGCCCCACCAACGGCGTCCCTTCGTGGTCGCGCTGTGGAGGTTGTGTCCTGTCTGAAGGTCATACGATACGTACCTTGTACTCACATCGCACACTGTGGAGTCGATCCGTACTCAGTTTACCTTTGAGCTCCACACAAAAACATGCTAAGCGTGACCTCAGTACACTCAGGTTCCCACACCGTACAAACTCTGTTGAACTCTGTCATATGATCTTCCTTTCCCTGGCTGTAAATGTCAAGGTGGGGTGCTCTCGCGAGACGGGGCGCTCTCGCGGTACTTTACGGTACATGTGCCTATTGTCACAGTATAGAGAAAGGGAAAACCCCTTATCAGTGTCCCAGGTGTTTCCTATCATGGTCAAGCAATCCGGAGAAGGGTAACTGACCTTCTTGTGTTCCTCCTTCATGATGTGAGCCTTGACATACTGCGGTGTAAAGGAGTGATGGGCAGATACCTTTGACCTGGGATCTGCAACCAGGCAACGTGATAGAATAAGTGTATGCAAATAGCAAACATAGCAAGCAGCATAATTATTATGATGATCAGAGAGTGAAAATGAACTTGATGTGGCCAGGGATCACCTCGATGGGAAAGGTATTCGTGGATTCGGGGAAGGCGCTTGATATACTTCAAAGTACTATAATACCACAGCTACCTGGAAAGCATAACTGTGTTGCTTTCATGGATGTGGCAAATGGGATTTAGGCCTTTGGCCTATGGTTGGTGGATCTGATCTATCCCCCCCCCCCCCCCACCGTTTAGGAACCCCATCTGACGCCTGATCATGGGGTGGTGGCGTCCCACGGAAGCAGAAAGGTGGTTCTTGACCAGGGAGTTTGTACGACTCCTTGTTCTTGACCTGCCCGGTACGCGAACCCGTCAAATTTTAACTTTTAATTTTTCGTGAGTGGCAAGTAAGACCATGATTATACCTTGCATTCACTTGAACACCGGTAGGTGCGGCGCACAAATGAGCCGCGTTTGGAGAAGAGGAGCCTATTGGGGGACATGTGCGTGGTCAGCCGCAGAGTTCAGTGGTCGTGTACTCAGAAGGCAATTTTAGAGAAACAGGTCAACACTATACATGTACATGCACTGGTTTTCCAACCCCCCCCCCCCCCCCCAACCTTCCCAGAACCACAAAAAGAGAGGCTTTAAGTAAATTTAGTTGACTAAAGTGGATGTTCCAGGCTGTCTGTGTAGCAGGGTTTAGCTCAGCTACCAGTCGCTTTATTGCACTGGCTTCAGCTGAGCTGTGTCGCCACTGGAGGACTGGCTAGTAAAGCAGTGTGTGTTTCCTAAGGAGAAATAATGCAGAGGTAGCATCTAGCTGAACTACATGGTCCAACGGCAGTGGCTCACCGGCACCATGTAACCATTGCCATTGAAAGCATGCACGGGACAAAGCCCCCCCCCCCCCCCCCCCCCACACACACACACGCACACACGCACACACTCCCTGATGCAAAGCCAGACTAGTCATGACACATCTGAAGCCATTCTCACTTGCTCTCAACAAGCATAACAACATGTCATTGCCAGAACCAAGGCACGGGTGACTGCAGTGGACATAGAAATCCGATCGGCCGGATGACCGGGTCCGGCGCCCTGTCTGCTTTTAGCGCATACGGGGTACTGTCGTCCACGCCGATACACACTGTAAAAATGGACAGCAGTGTTCCCGGCTACAAGGCCCGCGCCCCCTGGCTGCTTGACTTCTCAACGGATGTCTAGGGATTTCTATGTCGCTACAGTGCATGACCCTTTAAGGATCAAGGTCCTTGAAAGGTGTTGACATTTCTATGGATGCGGAAAACTCGGCCTCTAGAGTCTGACGCGAACCGTGAATTTGTTTCAATTTGTTAACAGTATATGACCTGCTGTTCACAACATGTAGCCGCACTCTGGAGCAGGTAATCTTAGATGGCACCAAAACAGGAGTTTTCAAGTGGCATGCTGTCAACCGTGCTGTCAAGGAGTTCAGGCCAGCTGCATTGAGTGCAGCCGACAGCAGGCGCAGGCGCGTGCCCGTATGGGTTCCTGGGTGCCCGGAACCCCCCCCCCCTTTTCGCTCAAAATGCAGGATTTTGCTTCATTTTTTGAAAATTTTCCCGGGGGGGTCCCCCCGGAACCCCCCCCCCCCCTTGAAGGGCACGGGCGCACGCGCCTGTACAGGCATGTTGTTTTTAGGTTGGGTTTTCGGGTTTGGCTCTCTGTGATCCCCTAAACATCAATACAGTGTAAAGGTTACTGTAAACTTGGAAACGTTTGCAATCCGCAGTCCTCAGCAGCTTTCACAATGGGTGTGAAATGGCAAAAGTAAGCCGGCGCGAAACGTGTACCGCAGGAGAAAAGAAACCGAGGAAATTGACTCCAATCACAAACATCTTCAGGTGCAAATTTGTCTGTGCTCGCAAAACATCACAGTTCGCGTCAGACTCGGCTGGAGGGCAAGTTTCCGCATCGGCAGCAACACCACCACCCTCTAGGATCAAGGCATCCGTAGCAACACCACCACCCTCTAGGATCAAGGCATCCGTAGCAACACCACCACCGTCTAGGATCAAGGCAGCAACACCACCACCCTCTAGGATCAAGGCGTAGATACAGTTCCTAAAGCGGTGGGAGGTGAGGAGATCAGACCCACCAGAATGTGGTGAAAGACCGAAAATCCCATTCGCTGCATACATGCTCGCAGATCGCGGACTAAAACCGGTGTAACCGCTTCCCGGTTCACAGTACTGCTACGGTGGCTAAAGGTGTGGCTGCAATAGAATGCATCAACACAACGAACGGCTTGCAGCTATATTCAAATGAGCCTGCAGAGTTGTGACCACTTCATTATCTACTGATCCATGCACAGCTCCCAATGTGCTTGAAACTACCAAGCTACGTAATGTATGTCCATGTATGTTTTGCACTACACAGGCTTTATTCCAATCCTGCAATTAAAATGGGGAGCCCAAAAGATCAGTGCCATTACCAATATTTTGATATTCAAATTCGAAGGATAGCAAAACTCATTCACACCAGAAAAAACATGTCTCATAATCTCTTCATTGGCAGTGCAAAAAGACATTCCCTTTTGAAATGGGTGTGAATCAACCTTCTCCGTATTCTCAAGTGTACTATCACGCCCTATACAATATAACCATGGCAAAAGAAATGCAGGTTTCCCATTTCTCTCCAGCAGCCTCAAGAAGCTTGGTATCGCCTTGCTAGGTTCACTGGGGAAACTACAGCAAGTCAGCTTTATGATGGTTTGTGTTACCTTCCAGGCTTCAAAACATCTCAGAATTGAGCCAAACACACTAAAAGCTGGCTCCAAAAGTCAACAGTTTCCCTGTCCAGTACAATGAGAGTGATTCATGTATGCTCAGGGCTGGCACTGTTAGAAGCCTGTCGGGTGGGCCACTGGCCCTGGTCAAGCAGCAACAATGTTCGGCCACTTGAAATCAAGTGACCCTTATGTATAGGCTAAAGTGACACAATCCAGGTTTGGAACTTTTTGGAACTGATCAACAGACCTGGCTGATACAGCGACTGTATGTGTGTGTGTGTGTGTGTGAAGTCACAAGGGAACAAAGGGACATGGGGTGCAAGACTGGAGAAGACAAGGACGGACAAAACCAGAGAGACTGACTAGGTATCACTCCAGGCTGAGCCACAAGCAACAACATACAGTCCACCTTGTGACTACCAACCTAGGGTGTAAAAACAACTCCCAAAGAAGGAGACAATCTTCTGCACCAGTGACAATTTGACAGTATGTGTTCAACCTCACCACGGGAATACTGCTGGAAGTAGTAACAACATGTGACAGGCGCGTAGCACCACCGTTGGCTGTGGTCCGGCCAGGGGGTCCAGGAGGGGGGATCTGCCCCGGAATTTTTTTGAAACTAGGGTGCAAAATCCTGCATTCTGGGCACTTTTGGCATTGTTTTACTATGGTGGTCGTGGTCGGGCGAAAAAGTGGTCGGGCGAAAAAGTGGTCCGGCCGGCCGGAGCGGCTGCTACGCCCCTGTGTGAATACAGTCATGTATCCACACTTTTTTCTCATGCACAATCTAAGGCTGTTCTCTGCAAGGTAGCCTGTATACATTAATATTACATTTTGCCATTCAAACATGTCGTATCTTCTCCATAGAAAGTCCGTGTCCGACGCCCCTGAGGTCATGGCATCCCACAGAGCTGCTACACACCACAAGTGGCATGGCGTGCACCATGCTGATCCTTACACATAATGTTACCCTATTATTGTTCTCAACTCTGCTTAGTATGTACCCCCTCAAAGAATTCAAGCCCTTCGCATTGTCAAATTTACAAGGTTACTTCTAGTTTGACATCACCAGGGACAATAGATCATTAAATTGATGTGCTGTGCTTACCGCACAGATTCTTTGTTATTTCATGCCGCAGTTGGCGTTTATGCTGGGATTTCACGCAAGTCCTTTAAAGGTTCAAGAGCGGTATCTCGTCTGGACAGAAACTGGCTTTGTGTGTTTGTCTGCCTAACAATATGTATCCAGTTGCCAGCAGTGTACCTTTCCAGTCTACTCGATAAATCACGCACTTTTAAGTCATGCACTCCAGACAAGTCCAGCACTTTTGAAATCCGGACATTACTTGCTCTGAGCATATTCCTGGGGAATCCATGTGGCGCGTCAGGCGAAATAGCACGTCATAGTACATTTGAGATCAGCGGGAAGAAAATGACGACGTCCACTAATTTAGTATCTGTGCACACGAATCTGCTGTGTGTGTGACTCTGTGTGTCAGCTATGATATCATCTTCTGTGGTTCCATGCCTATCATGTACGTCTGAACCATCCTGCAAAGTTTGAATGAGGTAGGTTGCGCGATCGCTCCGCGAAACATACTTTTTGAAATTCTCTTCATAGTATATCTTCCACCATTGAAATTTCGAATTTCTTCAAAAAAAGTGCTGAGAGGGGTGGCTTGCAACCTCGATATGGCTTGTCCCAGGCATGCTTTGGAGCAATCTTCTGTTGAAGTAGTGGCGGGGATCTACCCTGCAACTGCTACAACAAAAAATGATTGGATCTGAGAAAGCGTGAGACCGCGAATCTCGGTTGAATATTGAGTATTTCAAGCCTTTTCACGACGAAGATGGAGTTCTTTTTGGAGATGGACGTCGCGGCAAAGGACATGGTGTCCAACTTCTGGCGTCTGGTGAAGCCAGGGATCATTTGTCCAGTCAGGTCGGCAGCCTAACAGTCGGTAAGCTTGTGTTTGGATCCCGTTCTGCTCGATGTGGTAGATCACAAGCAATTTGATATCGCACACATTGATCTCAGCATCGTGCGTACGGTATTTTATATTCAGAAAATCCCAAAGTGTCTCTGTGTGGCCGTCCTATGCCACGAGAAACTCCAATCAGGCTCCTATGTCCTCTGCCTTCATGATTGAATGTCCACTTCGTTTGAACAACGAACACAACAATCGAGCTAGGACGGCTTTGCAATGAAAAATACAGCTATACTGGAGCTGAAAAAAGAAAGAAAAAAACGTGCTCAGGATGAGACTCGAGTACATGCATACTCTCCCAGCAGGTGAAACGCAAATTTTTGTGAAAAATGCGTGACGCCGACTGACCAGTAATTTCGCCTGACGTCTAGGTTACCCAGAAACCGCAGGGCATTTGCAGGGCTGCTGTTTGTTCCAATTTTTCTGTCACCATGTGATCTGTACACGCCGTTCCGACACACCCACCGAAAACAACCTTCACTTTCTCACCAGGATTGTTCTGGAAAGTGCCCTGATGTGTTGTTTCAGACCCATAGAATCCTAAATAAAGGTAGTGTTGCCCCCTTACCCCTCAGCCTCTGACAGGGGACACCCATGGACCCCACACAGATTTCTTCCCACAGAAAAGTTGCAGCCCTGCGTCTATGGTTGAAGATGCGCTGGTGTCATCGGACTCTTTGCAGTACGCTACAGGGGGACTAGGAGATCTGCTGATTGAGTGATTTACTTGATACACTGCATCTGCATCTGGGCTTCTGGGACCAGTGTACATACTCTGGCAAAGATGACAATACTACTGAAGAACTTATGAATGCTTCCACATCTACCCCCAGACTATGAAGTATGAGCTAGTACTATTGATTCCTGGATTGCCTGGCTTCAAGTTCCACACCAACCTCCATGCAAGCCCAATTGGGATGCCCGTTATTCAATTCCCCCGAACCAAATTTGAGTGTGCATTTGGCGCTATTGATCCAAGTGCGAATCTTGAGCCCAGCCTACTTATCATCATTGCTAAAATGCCCTAATTTCCGCTCGGGATGAATTGACAAAAGGAAGAGTCTCTGTTTACTTGCATACGCCTATTTGAAGTGATTACAGCCACGCCACTGCTTTGGGCCACACCTCTCTCAAATTCCTGCAATTCAAATGTGATTGTGGCTTATCATGTCTTGCAACTACCAGGAAAGCGAGCATTAAGGTACACATGATGAAGGAGACATTGCACTATAGCCACTGGTCGCTGTAAATCCCCTGTGGGCCAATCAAGAACTAGGAGGCCAGCTATTGCCGCAAACTCATGATGACTCTATGGTTGTTAGCACTAATCCCCACTTCCGATGATCGCCTGGGTAAGCATCTATGGTATGGTGGGATCAATTGAAATCTGCTTCATACCCAGATAGGTATGCTATGGCAGGTACACACATACCCTCCTCAACAGTAAACACACACGGGTTGGTGGCTAAATAGTTGGTCCGGCCATAGTCTAATGGACCGCTTCCACTGTCTACTGCTGAGTCCCCAATGGTGATCTCAGGGGAATGGAGTTTCATGTCAACTACGGTGCTGCTCAATGACATCAGGTCAGCGGGTCCAAATCCACGGCTGCACAACCCCGGGCGCGTGTGAACACCGGGCTGTGTCACGGCTGGCACATGGCGCAAACACGACCGGTTAGTTCATTGAGCAGCAATGTAGTTGTGTTGACACGTGTGGTCCATGGCCGTCACTGTCTCGCCATCACCGCACTCAGGACCATGTAGGAGCAGAACTACTGAGCTGGGCTTTGGGTCCAGTCCAATGTTCTTGTAAAAAGAATCTCCCTTTCGCCTTCGCCAGTGAATTGCAATGTCTACTACATAGGATCCATGGAATGTCCAGAAATGCAGGCATTCATGCTCCCCACTACTATTCCCTGTGTTGGGCTCCGGGCTTTCATGTGGTATAATGCAAGTCGCTACAAATACACAGAGCGTGCATTCTTCACCACGAAGCAAGAATCCTTCATTTTTTAGCACTGCATGGCTGTGTACAGGAACTTTTCAACTAATGTTACTTCGCAAATATGGCAGAGACAGCACTTTGCACTACTCGCACTTGACAGGTAACACACCCAGCCGAAAAGAGGGGCCTACACGGCGACGACCCACCACTAACTAACTTCTTCAGGACCCGAAACAAACATTGAACAAACTCAGTTACTCTGTTGTTTTTCACTCACCCTTTCCCATATGGCTGGGATGCAGTTCACCATCATCCGCGAAGCCAGCCTGCTCCGCCATTATCAACTGATCAGCATACGTAACCTCTTCACTGATAACCTCCCTCCTCTCAAAGTCTGCATGTTCCAGCGGCCGTATTTCGGCGCTGACAAGACTGGATAATCCCATGCCGAGCAGCAGCAGAGCTGCACAAAGGTTTCCGACCGCTTCCGTGCGCTGCATCTCTCAAACTGTTATAATCAGTAGATCTTCGATAAGTCCTGGCAAGCTATACCTCACGCAGGTGTGACGGTCAGAGTGTGACAACCGGCGCAGAGCAAGTGCGACAGTCAGCGGCACATGTGTTCGGCAACACGCTAGCACGCCTGCTTTCTGGTCCGGTGCAAAAGTGCGAACTTTGAACCCAGCAAGCACCTCTCGCATTGAAGCTTGTGCTTTTTGCACCAAACCAGAAACCTCCGCACAAACCCTAGGCCTAGACCACCTTCATAACAAACAAGAGAGCTTATTCCAAAGGCAAAGGTGGAGAAACTGTCCCCATCTAGATTTGTGATCCTTCCGCTTTCAATGGCACACCGATTGTAAAGTTGTATCCTGACCTGAGCTGCATGGTAGAACCGGGTACTGGGTGTGACCACTTCGCATGTTACGGCTAGGCTGGGATGAACGCTAGGCTGGGATGAACGCTAGGCTGGGATGAACGCTAGGCTGGGATGAACGCTAGGCTGGGATGAACGCTAGGTGGACCTACCCTGGCCTAGCGCAATGTAGATCTTGGCGGAAACGCGGACATGCACGCATGCAGAAGGGAGCATCGCAAGTGGATCCTTGTTGTTGAGTATGCCTGGATTGCTATTCCCTTTGTCTGACCGAGCAGAGATCGGAATGAACATTCCTACACATATACACGTCATTGTCCTCTGCCGGCCTGATCTCTGAGTGTCACCGTGTGCAGCATCACTTTTCAGGCTATGTCCGGCACTGGCCCGCGTCACAGAGTGCTCTGGCCGCAGAAGGAACTTACTTGACTAAGTCGAACACTGAATGCAGTATGGCTGGCTACTGCCCTTCGCCCTTCGCCCTTGATCAACCAGGTACTGTATGTGTACGTTCCATTGTGTGTTTACCTAACACTACTACGCTACAACAGTAGATCGCATTCGTAGAAATTAGTAGTGAGTAACTGAGTAGAGAGCGAGCATGGACTCGCCAATGCGGCTTCTAAGTTCTATTGTTATGCTGATGGTCATCGACACAGAGCATAGGATGTAAGAACACTTCTGACCAGGCTCACACGCTGTGAGAGGCACTTTCAAGTATTACAGTTCCATCCAGCACTTTCAGCAGTGGGTGGGGGGCACTTTGCTCGTACCTTGAATCTGTTTTGCCGTGGAGGCCTGGAGGGACTGCGCCTACACGTACATGTACGTGGCTGAATAGCTCTGAGATACAAACTTAGTGTTACAACATGCTATTATGTAGATCTACATGATGCCAAGAGCACCATACTGTGATTATTGTTGTTGTTCATGCAATGAAATCCGATCACGTGCATCGGAAGGTATTACATTTTTAGTGTGGTACGGTCAGCCATCTGAAGTACAATTTAGTCGTGGAAGAGTGGTGGCTGAGCCGAAAATTTTGGAATTTTAGATCCCAGATCAGTGTATTTTATTGATTCACAGGGTATCTGGGGCAAAAAGTGGTACGGTCAATACCGTAGTGACCATACTGTGTGCGATGCCCCTGACGTGAATCAAGTTTGCGCTCTGCTGTGTCAGTTCACATTAGCCTCTGGCGGGTATTGCTGGTCAGATTCCGCTCCAAAAGCAGCGAAATTAGCAGAACCATACAACAAACCTTACATCTACATACCAAACATGCGTGGAACATACCCGCGAGAAAAAGTACCAAAACTCTGCTAATTTTTTCTGGCAAAGCATTATCCGCCAAGGGCTAGTTCCCATCCCAGTGCTCCCAGTGCTCCCAGTGCTCCCAGGACTACATGTAAGGCGACACAGTGCCAGGCGTGGTATCCACTTTGTGGATCGGATTTCAGTGAGCAATGACTGTAGTAAGTCCCATGGATGTTTAGTGGAGTAGAATAATAGAGAGAGAGAGAGAGAGAGAGAGAGAGAGAGAGAGAGAGAGAGAGAGAGAGAGAGAGAGAGAGAGAGAGAGAGAGAGAGAGAGAGAGAGAGAGAGAGAGAGAGAGAGAGAGAGAGAGAGAGAGAGAGAGAGAGAGAGAGAGAGAGAGAGAGAGAGAGAGAGAGAGAGAGAGAGAGAGAGAGATAATACTGATGATCTACTCCTGGGGATACAGAAAAGCGACGCTGCATGCGACAGGAGATGGTAGAACAATTTGGATGAGCCACACACATAGCGATGGCAGCCGAAGCAGTTGAGGTGGCTCAGGCGGGACAAGAGCAACTAAACCGACCGAGGGTCTCGCCGCATGATATCAGCACTGCTCATGCCACGCCAAAAAGAAGAAAAAATATGTGTGTGGACAGTTCGGTTGACAGAAGCAATGAAGGTCTTGAGGTCATCCCCGGGTGTGGGTTCCGCCTCCACTTCGACTTAAGTACCCTTGCCTGTTCAGCAATGGTGTACTCTGGAGTCCACTAATGAGGATCAGAGAGACGAGTGGTGATGACTTCGGTGGGGATGTACTGGTCCAGTCGACTCAGCGTCCAAAAGACTACAACATATGGACCAATCGCGGTCATCCGTGCTTTGATAAGAACGAAATGGCGCTTTTAGTGACATTTTGCATACAAATCCCCATCTAGTAGGGTGCAGTCACCCAGGTTTGGTGGAAGTGTCGAGTTTGATTGGGAATAAAGGAGGAAGGGAGCGTCTCAGCGTCCTCGGACCAAGACCATTCGACTCAGCACCCCGAACACTACAACTGGTGAACATTTGATTTTAGGGTATACTTCCCCTGGACAAGCACTCCCAGTCAGCATCATTGCACGACGACGCCGTGATTGAAGGTGACCCTCCGGAGCAACCACATCCAGTCCAGTTAGAGCTTTTGACACGAGGAGTGGTCCGTAGAGCTCCACCCAACCGTAACCTTTGGAGCAGCTGGCACATCAGGTGTTGATGCCAATTCGTGGCGACGGATGTGCACATGTTTTGCTGATGTGTCGGACCGTCTGTGTGATGCACTTGCCTGCTGTGCCCGTAGGTTGGCGACATTGTTCGTGGGCCCTGCCTCACTGGAAGCCCAGGGGCGTCGGAAGGTATTCGGCATTGGTGCCGCCGCATGAATAGGCACTAGGTGGAGGGTCCGGGGTCCTCCTCCGTGAAAATGTTTCGGAAATTGGTCCCAAATAGCCCGTATTTCATTGCATCGGCAAAAGTCTTTAAAAAGGAACTTAGTTGAAATTATTGGTGCGGCTTTGACTGGACCTGCCGCACCGGTTCTGACGCTCCTGAAGGCTTCACAGCATGTCGGCTAATCCCTCTGGACAAGCGCCCAGGAGAAAGCCATACAGATCAGAATTGGGGAAACCCTCCGGCGAATTGTTGACAAAGCCATCCTGTCCGTCCTTGGCGATGACATCAGGGACGGAGAGGGAAGCCTTCAAGTACGTGCCAGCCTGGAGAATGGTCTTGAAGCAGCCGTCCACGCAATGCGTGCCATCTTCGAAAGCCCTGATTACGACGGTGTTCTCCTAGCCGATGCATCCAATGCTTTTAACACTTGCACCTTTTGTAGTTAATACCTACCGTCACCCCGCAAACCTGTTTGTGGGAGGCGAGACCATCCTGAGCCGCGAAGGGACGACGCAAGGTGACCCCATTGCCATGGCAGTGTACGCCATAGGTATAGTCCCGCTCATCAAGGCCATCTTATCAGCAGGATCAGTCCAGGCCAGGTTTGCGGACGATGCTGGGTCCGGAGGCAGGCTTGCACCTTTGCGGTCTTGGTGAAGTAATTATCACACAGCACCTGGTGTCATTAGACGATGCCATCACCAACGAGTTCATCCGGCTCTCCTGCAGCGACCGGTTAATGAAGTGGAGCGTGAACTGATCTCCTTGCCATGCCATCACAGTGGTCTCGGCCTCAGTGCCCCGTCCTCCATTGCCTCGCAGTATGAGTCCTCCATCAGCGTGTCCTATGGTATCATCCACCGCATCCTGAGCCAAGCAATGGTGTCGCGCAGATCTATCAAGCCAAGAGTCACGTCACATCCATTGCCTGCGATGCCACCAGGACTCGTGCCCTTGCTTTCTCTGTTTCTGTTGGGCCGGATCTTCAGCGGTCCGTTGAGCTATCTTCTGAGAAAGGCTCATCTAACTGACTAACCAGCCTAACGCTTCGCCGTTATGACCGTTCACTCTCACCAACGGTGAGTTTCGCGATGCCATCTGCCTACGCTATGGTTGGCTCCCACAATGGCTGCCAACGTCCTGCCAGTGCGGAAGCACTTTCACTGTGCAACATGCTCTGTCATGCCCCTTTGGAGGATTTCCCACCATCAGGCACAGCGAGGTTCGCGACATTACCGCTAGGCTGCTCAAGCAAGTAGCCCAAGAAGTGTCTGATTGAACCTCATCTGCAACCTCTGTCAGGTGAGCACCTCCGGTATCGCACAGCCAGCGCGGACGGCCGGGCTCGGCTTGACGTGGTAGCGAGCAGCATTTGGGGAGGACGATTCGAACGCACCTTTATTGATGTACGGGTGTTTAACCCTTATGTGTCTTCGAATCGGTCCAAACCACTTGCTGCCTACTATGTCAAGCATGAGAAGGAGAAGAAGCGGGCGTATGACCAGCGCATCCAGCACGTCGAGCATGCTTCTTTTGTCCCTGCGGTGTTCTCCACAAGCGGAGGAAGGAGCAAATGCGCCTCTGCCGTGGACAAGCGCATCACTTGCCTACTCTCTACCAAGTCACCACTGAGCGTTACAGCGCCGTCATTGTGCATATCCGCTGCCGTCTACAACGTTGCTGAGATCCTGTAATATGTGTTTGCGTGAAGCAAGGAGCATTTTCTCTCCTACAGCACCTGCGGTTTCTGCTGAGCTAGTGATTGCAAAAGCAGCTATTCTTGCCATTTAAAGGGGAAGTTAAGGCGAAAATCAAAATGTCACCAGTTGTAGTATTCGGGGTGCTGAGTCGAATGGTCGTGGTCCGAGGAAGCTGAGACGCTCCCTTCCTACTTGAATCCAAATGGAACTCGCGCACTTCCACCGAAACTGGGTGACTGCGCCCTACTAGATGGGGATTTGTATGCAAAATGTCACTAAAAGCGCCATTTCGTTCTTATAAAAGCACGGATGACCGCGATTGGCCCATATGTTGTAGTCTTTTGGACGCTGAGTCGACTGGTTTTGGTCCGAGAAAGCTGAGATGCAGTGTTCCTCCTTTATTCCCAATCGAACATGGTTGAACAAGCGGTCACGTGCTCCTGGGTGCCCAAATCACCCGGTCACCGCGCCAGCAGGCGACAACTTTCACACCAAGGTTCAACTCGAGTTCAACTCGGGTGACAGGACTGCACCCAAAAAAGGTCAAACAGGCTAGTAAGTTGTACCCTGCAGGCACGGTGACCAGGTGACTGGTGTACTAGGCCCAGACAGATTCTGCTCCGCTCGCCTCGATATTTTGCCGCAAAATGTTGCTCCGAAATCTTCGATATTTTGCCGAGTCTGGCGCAAGAAACTCGATATTTTGCTCCTGAAAAACGTGTATTTTAACCACTTCCCTTACAATCCCGTACACATTTTCATCAAAATTGCAGGGTCGGTTTCTCAACACGGGTTTCCACGCACGTGTCCCTGAGTTCTTCCAAAATCATGTCGATCCACAGTGAATCCCAGTGATATTTCGGCGACATGATCTCGTCCTGGGCAGTGTGATCCCGCTGAACGGGTAAGACTTGAAACAAGGAAATCTAAGTATCAGGCATCGATTTTACCCAACCATCTCGATATTTTGCTCCAATTTTGCCGGCAATTTCCGCTCTTTCAATTCTTCGATATTTTGCCGAAAGAATTGCCGGCAGGATCTGTCTGGGCCTATGGTGTACGCAGGAGCACGTGACCACTTGTTCAACCATGTTCGATTGGGAATAAAGGAGGAACGCTGCATCGCAGCCTTTTCGGACCAAAACCAGTCGACTCAGCGTCCAAAAGACTACAACATATGGGCCAATCGCGGTCCGATGATCCGTGCTTTTATAAGAACGAAATGGCGCTTTTAGTGACATTTTGCATACAAATCCCCATCTAGTAGGGCGCAGTCACCCAGTTTCGGTGGAAGTGCGCGAGTTCGATTGGGATTCAAGTAGGAAGGGAGCGTCTCAGCTTCCTCGGACCACGACCATTCGACTCAGTACCCCGAAGACTGCAACTGGTGAAATTTTGATTTTTGCCTTAACTTCCCCTTTAATTGTTCCCTTCAAAGTGCTACCCTTAGCCGATGTGTTCCTATCTAAGACTTGTGTTTATTTCACGGAGACTGAGACGGAGAGCCCGAACGTGCGCCGCATGATTTTTTTATTTCTAGTTTTCACGGAGAAGGCGGAGAGCCCGAAAGTGTGCCGTATGACTTTTATTTTTTATTTTTCATGGAGAAGGCGGAGAGCCCAAACATGGCGGTAAAAAATACCAGCACAGCATCATGATGATTATGTACTAGGCCTGAGTGTACGCCGTAAATGTATCCTATCCACGATGGGAAGCACTACATTTGTAGTCCGGCATGATTGCGTGACCGATGTTTTCAAAGTTCTTATCTTCCCTTTTCCGTCTAGGCTCCTCTTTGGTTCCTCTTTTCTCTTTAGCTATCAGTTCTCTTGTACCTTCTTGCCATTATTCACTGATGTGGAGCTTTGAATAATCAGGAATGGACTACTACCAAGGGTGCGTTCGAATAGTATTCATCAACTTTTCGAACAAATTCTAAAAAGAGTGTCCCAATAGAACGGTTTCTATCATTTTACTTTTTAGAGTTTTTCAGCGGAATTGTCATGGCGATAATGACGTCCGATCCGATCGACCATCTATAGGGCTTGAAAGTGATGACGTCAAAACGGCCAGGGAGTAGTAAGTTGACATCAGATTTTTTGGATCCACTAAGGTGTGACTTTGCTATTGCCTAAGTATGTGGGTGCATAGCAACTCACTTATGTCGCATGCAGGTGTGACTTTTATTTTGCCACCAGTTGTAACCCCGCCCCCAGTAGCCAAATCAGTCAGTTTCACTGGCTACATCACCATGCTGGGGGGTAAGACCGCTTGAAATGTGCTTGGATCCATACAAAAACTGGATCCAAGTGGATCCAGTTTTTGAATTTTTGAAATTGTTGCTATGCTGTGACGTAGCACTTTCAAGCCCTATTCCAAAGCAAACTATTCGGAACTAATCCACCTCTCTCATCGGATGAGGCTGTGGAGTTTCGAGGAGGCTTTCGTTTTCTGAAGAGGCCAGTGGACACCTCTTCAGAAAAACGAAACTCATCGGAAAAGTCAAAGAGTGAAGATTCCCTAGACTAGTAATGAGTGTACGATGATGTACAAAAAGTCATGTACGTACATGTAGATAGTAGATATTATCGTACGGTATGTGACCTTGAGTTGAGACTTGAGAGGTCATGACGTCACCAGTGCAGCTGCAGTTTGTACAAGTAGTCTACAAAAAAAAAAAAAAAAGATAATGAACTCAGCAAAAAAAAAAAACATGTTGACGTGTCATGTTGTAGTTCGTGTGTAGAGCGCGTATACGTACAGTACTACTACTAACAATAATAACAATAATTGTTACATGCATGTTTTGATACACGCAGCTAGCGCTAGCTATAGCTAGCTGACGACAAGCCATGCCGAAACTGGAAAAATAGATTTTCACCTTTCCCAAACTACTCAGCAAGGAGCTTCGACTCAGCCTTTGTTGACTTCGGGTTTGACTTTGAGGTAGAGCGCGGGTGTAATTTTATTGAATGTTCTTCTCTCCATTGCATGCTCCTGGGAGCAAGACAGCTTTCAGTCAGTGACAGCTGAGTCCACTTCTTCGAAGCTCAAGTGCTGGCAGTGTGTGTTTGCATGGTCTGCGGAAGAAGGAGTATAGTGGTTTGAGAACATCGACCGAGGACTGAATGTCGTACTTGGTTCTCGTCCACCATGAGCCTTCGCAAGCGAGCCTCATCAACGGCCACTGCTTCAGGTGAGGCGCAACCCATGACTAAAGTAACTAAGTTACTTACTAGTAGTAGTACTTAGGTACACGCTTTGTCGTCCGTGCGTTTCGCTTTATCCATGTCAGAGAAGAAACGAACGAATCTACTAGGACGTATGGTTTGAGGAGCTGCGTTCGAACAGTTGATGGCGATGATGTACTTTCAGTTGTCTATCCTGTGTATCTTTACTCGCTTGTCCGCAGCATATGTCGGTTGTCAGCCAACTTTGCTGAGCTGGAAGCCCTGAAGCTCCCGTGTGCTCATGGTGTGCTTGTCTCCCGTGTGTAAAACTTGTCCATGCACCACATGTACCATGCATTACAGTCATGAAGGGGTCAAGAAGAATTGTTTTCCTGGTTTTGCATGGTGTTATGCGACCGAACAGTTTCATAGTAGGATGGTGCTATGCCCATCAGCACTGCTTCGGACAGGGTGGTCTTCCCACTTTCCTCCATGCATTCCCTCTCACTTTCAACCCTCCGTTATCAGGGGAAGAAGCGTGTGTGCGTATGTGTGTGTGTGTGTGTGTGTGTGTGTGTGTGTGTGTGTGTGTGTGTGTGTGTGTGTGTGTGTGTGTGTGTGTGTGTGTGTGTGTGTGTGTGTGTGTGTGTGTGTGTGTGTGTGTGTGTGTGTGTGTGTGTGTGGTGTACAGTACAGTGTGTGTGTGTGTGTGTGTGTGTGTGTGTACAGTACAGTACAGTACAGTACAGTACAGTGTGCGTGCGTGCGTGTGTGTGTGCGGTATGTGCGCGCGTGGAAGGGGTGGCATGCACGACAAGAGTATGGTTGACTACATGCAGTACCTGGAGGAAGTTCCTGTGCTTTATCGGACGCTGTGGGATCACATGTGATCATTAGTATTACATACCCTTCTGTAAATTAGCGCCTTTCCTGGCACTGGCAACTTGTCTTACTGGGGCCAGCTGACCCGGCCTCGCAGGCCTGTTCCTGACTGCCCACCCACCTTGGCAATGCACATGCACTCTGAGTTTAGTAGATTCGCTCGTCCAAGAACGTCCCCAAGGGGTTAGCCTGGGGCGCTCTTATTTCTCAGCAACCTGGCTGCGTTCTTATAGCACGCTCTTAGCAACAATTCGTACCGGATCATATATGTATCCCCAAAGGTGCCAGAAAACCAACTCCGACATTCTAACTTTCGACGGTGACGTTCCTATCATTTTAAGCTGGACGTTCTTGGGCTCTAAGTTCTTCGGCGTGCGGCTCTACTGATAAACTCTAAACGTAAACAGTGTCCAGCATGTCGCATGAATTTTCGTCTAAAGCGGAATCCATGGAAGCCTTTTTTCAGCAATGCACAATGCGACGCAATGTGCTTACCAAACCTGAGTTCCGGCAGACCTGCACTGTTGGCTTGCACATTGCATACACCGGACCAAACCTTTTGGCCACGAACACAAGTCTGTCCCCGGGGAAAATCGCGATTCCGCGGCCGCGTTTTTGCGCGTTTTTTTGCGATTTTTTAAAAGACCGCATTTTTGAACTTTTTTGTTGCACTACACGTACACACAGTGCACTGTTCGGTCAGCAACGTCTCATCGTGGTGGCTTTGTACTCAAATAATTATGACGAGTGCTTACACCAGAGACTTGTAACTGATTGATTTCACTACATACTCACTGAAAATTGCCTCATATCAACTGCAAACTTGCCACATATCAATAATATTCACCGCATATTTACCCCAAATTCACCGCAAATTACACCGCAAATTCTGGGATTTTTTTCCGCGATTTTCCCCGGGGACAGACAAGTCATGTTCACTGCAGTACTGTTGAGGGCATGTGTTCCCGCCATATCATACACAACATATGACAGGTTATGACACTACCGGACCAATCGAAAACTGCTTCCGGTGGTCCTGCAGTGCGATGTGAACTCATGAGTTGCCACGCACAGAGGTCAGCAACGCGATGTCGCTGCAAAGCACAGTGAAGGGGTGTACGACGTCTTGGCATTCGTGTAGCTCAGTACTACTTGTACAAATCTACAAGCAACTCTTGAACCTAGCGTACAACTTTTGCAGCAAAGAAGGTCCGAATCACGCTTTTCAAGGCGAGAGTTAAGCCAAGTTCAACTTCTGCAATCAGCCAGTTACGATACCTACAAACTACGTACTTATATTATGCTACTCAGTTGGTACAATGTAGGTTTCTCCCGGTGTCGTGGTCGTTGAATCGCAAAATCCTTCGCAGCCCTCACACACCTCTAGTTACCACCATTTGGATACAATCGATTCGCCCAGGACTGCGTGTTGCGAGTTGGACGGTAATTGCAAAAAAATTAAATAAATTTGAGCAAAGAACAATGAAATGGCGGTGGGCCCAATGTCTCAAAATTGTGTAGCAGCGGCATTCCTGGTGCATTATAGTGGACAACGATGGGTCGTCTTGACGACGGGTTTGAGTTCGTTGTAGTCTTCTGTCCAACTCCAAGAGCTTTCCAAAAAGCCCAATACTGTCAAAATTGGCAAAAATTGGCAAAGAATAATACTTAGAAGAAGAACACACTTCAGGCTCTTGAACATCTTGATAGTTTTCACTAGTATACTTTCCAGCCTTCTCGTCGGGTGAAATACAGGCCAAAGCAAAGGAACAAGAACAGTTTGATTTTATATATGTACCGAATATGTTTTGATGGAAACTTGAACAATATGTACTCGATGCGTAGGAAATTTAATGTTGTAGTCATTGCAGTAGAGGCCCAAAGGGTTGAACGTCGGGTAGCACTTGCACACGGAGGAAATATTCGAATGAAGATGTGTGTGTGTGTATGTGTGCGTGTGTGCATGTGTTTACTGCAATAGTGAGCGGCAGTGAGATTCTCGAGGATCATGAGATAAAGTATGGTCAGCTACTCAAGCGACATCGCCACAAGAACACGTGGATATCACGTAATGTTGTCCTGGACATCACTTCAGGAACCCTCTCTTACTACAAACCCAAGGTGAGAAGTTACTCTCTTCTGTATCGAGCTGTTTTGACTTTTCTCAGCCCTGCAGTAAAGTACTGTTTGCCTGCCCTTCTGTAACCCCCTCCCTGTCGATATATACCTGTGAAGCGATATCACCGTATACCAATACACCAGTGTACAGTATTGAGAAGATGCATACACTGCTGTACGCAACATGACCAATCTGGTGGGCTTCCGGTGTTGCTAGACCAGCTGGAAAGCGACACGTGTGTGTGTGTGGGGGGGGGGGGGGGGGGGGGGGATCACCCATGCTTTTACCCAGATGTTTTAGGCTGTCATTTCCCCAATTAGCTACCGTCGTTGATATTAAATTTTCAACGATGTGTACATGTGCATGTAGTGCATACTTGCTCTGATAGATCACTGTACAGATCACTGGGGCTCCGAGCTGGCCCAAGATGTTTTACACCCATAGCTTGGCGTTTATTTTTTTTTATTTTTTACCCAAGTCAAGTTTGTAAGTGTCCTGTGTGTGATGCGCATGCAAATTTGGTTCTAGTTTCGGGGGTCAGTGGGCAAATGTGTCATGTAGCCTGAATTTCTCGTGTGGACAAAAAATGTGACACCAGCGGAAGTTAGCAATGCTGTAATCACTTTCCCCGCAAAACAAGTCACCGAGTCCCAGTGAGAAAATTCGTCGTGTATTTACTCTGAAGGCGAGAGCACAGCACACTTGTATCCCAGGCTTGCTCGTCACGGGATGAACACTCCGTGTAAATTAGCCCCCCTCCCCTTGCATTTGCAAGTCCTCTATCAAGACTTTGCACTAAACCTACAATTTTTCCTCTATCTGTGTTGTACTAACAGACACATATTGGGCGTGTAAAAAGCAAGATCTCACGGGTGAGTTCACATCCCAAGGATAGAAGTCTGTTGCTCGTGTGCATTTCATTGACAGTACTTGACTGTGCAAAGTGAGCAAGTCTCACATGCCGTGCTGGACTTTTATCGTGCATTACTTAAGCGGGATTCACAGAAGCTTTTTTGCGATGCGACTGCCGCGAAACCGGGAAATTCCCAAATCGCAGCCATCTCGCACCCCACGCAATAGGTCTTTTGCCAAATAAGACACGCAGTGACTTGGCGGGGCATGGCATGCGTACTGAATGCGTGACCCGGGCACACCATACATGCAGTGCATTACGAGTCACGCGCGAGCTCTTGTTCCTGAACCGCAACGAAAATCACCGCGTTTGGCGTGTACTCACCCACGCGTCGAGAAAATAGTGACTTTCTTTTTTTTTGCTTGTGCATTGTGTCTTTCAAAAACTATGTTTCTTCCAGCGATCGCGATCGACATTCTAGAATAATATAATGAGGACGGTCACTGGATTTTCTCTGCCTAGTTCTTGTAAAGGGTTTAGTTTTGTTTTCTAGAACATCTCTCCAGATTTTTTAGCCATGGGAAAGGCGATCACTGCTGCGTTCCGCAGTGCAACAGCGACCGACGTTCAGACAAAATACTTTGTTCCATGTCTTCCCTACTAGCAAGGAATCGAAAACTGGAGAAGCTAAGAGCGTGAGCAGTGACGAGTTGGACACAAGAAAGTCTTGGATTGCCGCCATTCGTCGAGATGAGCGGAATGGCTACGGGTACCATCATGTCATACAATATAGTGGTGTGTTCTAACCATTTCACTGATGAATACTATAGTCGCTATCGACGATATCCAAGTGGAGTTCAGCCTGGAGATTTAGCTCAGTTTGAAGACTGACATTCAGTATTACACTGGTTTTCCTTTGCTTGCTGCGTTTGCATGTATTCAATTTCTTCACCGGGATTATAAGAGCGTCTTTCCTTTCGCAGTAAACCAGTGGATGCCGATTCCAGGAAAAGGAAACCCGGTGATGAACGGAAGATTAAGTTAATTGGCTTGGAGAGCTTTTTCATTACCATGGTTAGCCTTCGCCACGGCACACATACCAATCTCGCCGCGTCCTTCCCTAGTGGCAGAACGATTGCTGGATGTTTTCAAAAAGCTGCATCCTACAACATTCATGATCATAGATGCTACAGTGCTGAAATGTAATATCGCTTCCAGTCTGCGCAGTTGCAACTCTACAGCTCATATAAGACGCATAACGTTACTACCTTGACGAGCCTCATCCGTATGACCCCAGATGGTGGTGCGGCGCTTACCTCCAAGTCATTTACGGGATCCACCAGTGACCACGAGCTCACAATCAGAAGCCACTACTTAGATCTTCTGCCAGTAGCCGGCTATGGGGCTTTGATTATGGCAGACCAAGGATTTGACATCCGGGATCTCTTGATGCCACATGGCGTAAAGTTGAATATTCAAGCGATCAAGCAACAGATGGCCTTAGAAGATGTCCAGAAAACGCAACAAATTGCCACGTTACGAATTCATGTTGAGTGTCTGATGGAGCGAATCAGGGAGTTCTCTATCTTTTCAAAGATCGTTCCAACAATTCTTTTCCCTATCATCATTCAGATATGGATTGTTCGCTGCCTGCTCACAATATTCCAGGCTCCTTTACTTGCTGAAGCAAATTATGTTTTCCATGCCAACTGTTGCTAGCATTCCATGGCGAATTGATCTTCAGCAACACGAATTTTGTCATGCCTGAACAATCATGCACAATACGAAGCAGCTAATGACTTAGTGGGTATAAATGTGGATAGTATGATATAATTTAGATTGCAATATTTGCAAAAGTGCAATGAATAACAATACCCCTCTTGATTAATATTAGTGCTTGCGGTTTATCAATTTCCATGGTCACAACCTACAAGGGCGAATATAAAAGTATCTTTGCAACCATACAATAGGTCCTTTGGTAGAGCAGAGCTGGACCCAGTTTCAGGAAAACTAGCATGAAATGTAGCTGCTAAAAAGAACGATATGCTCATTGCGTCGCTATGGGCTTCCACGAGCTCAGCGTCAACAATGCTCTGAGCGGTTTTCCGCTTTCCTTGCCGATGCCTGCCGCCAAATATATCTGGAGTGCACAGTATTGGATCGATGTGATAGAACCAGGCCCTGAACAGATGGAGAAAGTTAGAATGTGAAACATGTATCGATAAAATGTACTTTTTCTTGTGCGAAATGTTGAGGACTGCATCCTGAAGTGGTACTTACCGATCGAGCAAATCACCCCGTTTCCTGGACACTCCGGCTCCTCTAGCTCGCAGGTAAGTCTTCAACTGGTTGATTGTCCATTTTTCAAAGGACTCGTTGTCCAAAGGCATCAAAAACCGAGCTTTGGGATCGCTAATTCAACTTGATTCTCCCTCGCAGGACTACTATCAACATTCCCTTCATCGCAACGTACCGCCACTAGAGATGAAGTGCTCGGCTCATTGACCGCTTCATCAGCCATGTATCAAACATATCACAAAGGTCCAGCAAGAAGTAAATGCAAAAAAACCCTTTCTACATATCGGACAGCAATGAAGAAGCGAGAAGAAAACAGAATCCTTCGCTGTCAGGTTTTTTTTCCGATCCAGGAGAGTCCCGTTTTTTCTGGCCGCCTGGGTGAGTACACGCCAAACGCGGTGATTGATCGTTGCGGTTGCAGAACAAGAGCTCGCACTGGGAGGAATGTACTGCATGTATCGCGTGCCTGGGTCACGCATTCAGTACGCATGCCATGCCCCGCCATAGTCACTGCGTGTCTTATTTGGCAAAAGACCTATTGCCGCAACTGGGCCATCGCAGAAGTTGAGCTTGGCTCAACTTTTGCGATGCGACAAGCAATTTGGCGTACGATTTTGACCTTTTCTACAGCAAAGTTGTACAAAGGTTCAAGAGTTGCCTATAAATTTGTACAAGTTGTACCAAACCGCGCGAATATCATGGTGACGTACCCAAATCAGCAAGACGTTGTCGTATCGCTGACTTCTTCTGTGAATGGTATTTCGCGAGTTCGCATCGCACGCGTCCATCGCAGATCCAGTCGCATCGCATGTAGCATCGCAAAAAGCTTCTGTGAATCCCGCTTTTGGGGCCGTCCGAGGTCACCAATAGTATTTCCAAAACGAAATTTTTTCGTTTGGGGGTGGGTTTAAGGAGTTTTACTTTGAAAATAATTATTGCATGCAGATGGAGAATGTCCAGTTACTTCTGGGTGCCGAGAATTGACATCAGTATTTTGCTGGAATTCGTATCACCTGCAGAAAAGGTAGGTGGGTGGGTGGGGGCTGAAAAATACTAAAACTTTTCGTTTTGCAAAAACAATCGGTAACGCCGGACGGCCCCTAAGGGGCCATCCATAAATACCAATATACAGGTCGTCCCTCGTTAATACATAATCTCTGGGACTTGACAAATGTTATGTATTAACGGGGTTTATGTACTAAACGAAAGTGTACATATCTTGCTTGTGTATCAGAATTTTTCACTTTTTTCAACTTTTCAGAGTGTTTCTTGCTGCCATGACTAGGGAGCGAGATATTCTTGATTCCCTCGATATAACATAAAAATTATGTTATAACGGTCACAGTCAGCGAAGATTCTACAGTTTTACTGTAAGACCAGACATTTTACATGAGACCTGCCCAGTCGCACCTGTACAGTCACTCGGGGATAAACAGAGCTTTGTCAGTTTGTGATGTGCGCTCTGATTTCTGAGCTAATTGCGTCCACCAGTAGAAACTAGAACACGATGTGCCTCCACTGGAAGCCCAAAAGACCAACAAATTATGTACTATTGAGGTAAGTGGCATGCGGGTACGGAGAAATGTTATGCACTAACAGGGTTTATGTACTAACGAATTATGTACTAACCGACACAATTTGTATGGAAGTGACCATGTTTCGTCCGGGACTTGAGATTTCTTATGTACTAACGGGGTTTATGTACTAACCGGACTCGTATTAACGGGGGACGACCTGTATATTTAGAAAGAAAACTTGTCGTTTGGGGGGGGGGGGGGGGGGGGGGGGAGTGCCTGTTCGTATGTCGAAAAAATGTCGATATACACTTCTGCACTTCAGCTCAGAATTCACCTAGTACAAATTGTACCTGCAACATATCCACACCAGAGTGCCACTGCAATACTTGCGATGCTTGCAACACAACACGCTTAGTGTGCAACCGACGATAAATACAGTACAGTGTGTATAATACTACTCAACATGTTCCTGTTTGCTGCCAACGTGTGCAGGAAAGGCCTTCACCCCATGCCAATAGAGCTGGGAAAGGGAGTTCGTATGTCGAAAAAATGTCGATATACACTTCTGCACTTCAGCTCAGAATTCACCTAGTACAAATTGTACCTGCAACATATCCACACCAGAGTGCCACTGCAATACTTGCGATGCTTGCAACACAACACGCTTAGTGTGCAACCGACGATAAATACAGTACAGTGTGTATAATACTACTCAACATGTTCCTGTTTGCTGCCAACGTGTGCAGGAAAGGCCTTCACCCCATGCCAATAGAGCTGGGAAAGGAAAGAGGCATTAGACGAGGTGATAACGATTTCCGGAGCAAGATATGGTCAGAAGACCAGGCGAGAGCGAAAATGCGGGCGAGATTTAACTTGCTTTGAGAAGATGAGTCGGGTTGTGGGTTTCAGCGAGGGTTGGTCGCCATGTTGAGTTCTGTGAATCCCATTGCTCCACACTCAACAATGAAAATCTCCTCGGCTTTAGGACGGTCGCATGCCTAGTTGTGCCGACATGGGAGAACAATCGGCTCCAGAGGATAACCTTCCGCTGCGCTCTCTACGTGTGCCTTTCTGCTAACCACCTCAGGCGTAGGCTCTAGTCGGCTGCTGCCATCCACCAGTACAACAGAGCTTCTGTTTCTATCGGCCAGTATCAGTCCCGCTGATGGCAGGTTGCCTGGGCTGATGCTTAGCAGGCATATAC